AGCCATACAAATTACACAAATACGAACTGGGATCAAAGGTTCGCTTGAGTGGTTCAATTGAAAGTTCCGGTCGATTGGACAAGTTCAGAGCGATTGAACCCCACTCGAGTTGGTGGCGAGTCAATTGAAAACTGAAGGATTTCACAATTTCCACCCTTTCGATGACGACGTCGATGATGATGGTGATATGATGATGATGGTAGTAGTGATGGGGTCTATCTCAATCACAGGCACAGACACATGCCGGGGGTCTAATTCATTTACTGCCATATCACTTAGACCTCCCCCATAGCTTCGGGGATTCCGTGTTCCGGGTTCGGGCTGCCATGTTCCGGGGAACTAACCTAATAATCTCTCGCCGAGATAAAGTCTCGGCTTTACGGCCACCCCTAATGTACAGTTGCGGCATTGGGCACTCCGCCCAGGGAGCGAGCGAGCGAGCGCTTGAGTTGTCTGTCTGTCTGTCTGTCTGTCTGCTTGTCTGCTCGACGCTCTTATTAGCGCCGTCGTAGTTGTTGCTTCCCGCGCTGATGCCTATTTGTCAGTCAATTAGTCAGCTTATTGGCAAGCGATGATTACAAAGAGAAAAACAAGCTAAAAGCCAAGCGGGAGAGCCGCGTAGCCGAGAGGCAACCGACGACGACGACGACAGTCGACAGCTTTTCCATTTCAAAATTACACTCGCCAGAAGCTAAAAAGAGTGAACGAGCGGGAGGAAAAACCAGAAAGAGAGAGAGAATGGCAGGCACCTCGTCGGATTTTCCCCCATTTTTTCCCTCCCAACACGCAAGCGATGGGAGCCACTCGCGTCCGTTTAGCCGCGTGCGTACACACAATTTTCCGCTACTCATGCTACAAATTGTTTATTGAATTTCCTCTTTCTGTGGCCGATGTTGTCGATGTTGTTGCTTCTTTGCTGGTTTGTGGCACACAGAAAGAAATAACATACACCTTCAATTTTAATACGGAAAAAATTCTTAAAATTATTTAGTTGGGTATTTTATGATCAAGAAAAGATTATTTAAATTTGAAATCTATAATTTCTTTCACTTTTGTTAAAATTTAAAAGTTGACATCTTGACAACCCAAAAACATTTTTAAACCATTTTAACATACAAAAAATTGAATAAAAATCATTGTTAATATACTAAAAAATGATTTTGATCATAATGTAGCCTCACTATTTTTTATATTTAAATCAATATTAAATATGTATCTTCTAATACTTCTTTATAAAGGCTTTGAAATAGGAATTTATATGTATTATTTTTTTCTGTGTGCTTGCTGCCTTGGCGGCTTCCCTTGGTTTTTATTTCCATTTACATTTCTCGCTTTGTTTTCGTTTATGTTTATGGGCTGTTTAGAAAACAATTTTCAACCACAGATACATAGTAGGGAGGGGGAGCGAGTCGAAGTTGTTAATCCAGTGTAACTTTATAATATGCGATGACATTAATTGAGCGAAGACGGACGGGCCAGTTGAGGCTGACAGCATTATTGGCCTTAAATTTGCACGCAGGTCAGATGGGCCAGGGGGAAGGCCATGTCCAGAGTCGGAGCTGCTGACTCAGAGTGAGTGAGAGCCAAGTGCTCGAGGACGTCACGTAGTCAATGTACAGGCTCTGCCTCTGTCATCTCTCTGTCTCTCTTTCCGGCTCTGTAGCGCTCTCTCTCTTTTACTGGCTGTGCCATAATTTGTGGTCTTTTCCAGGGGGAAAAAAGGGAGCACTCGGTGGGCACTTTTCGGTGGTGGCAAATGTGTGTGTGTGTATATGAGTGTGTTTGTGTGCTCGTCGAGCCCTTCGTTTTGTCTTTTTCAGATTTTATGGCTTTGTGCGTTTACAACGTCGCTTTTTGTAGTACATTTGTTTTATAACAGACCCCGACACCGCCAGCTTGCCAGCTTGCCAGCTTGGCAGTGGAAAGCGGAAAACGGAAAGCAGCCGCAGAGTAGAGCCCACAGAATATAGCCAGCGGGAGGAACAGCTTAGCACATTGCCAGCAGTTATTACACAATTTCTCCCCAAGCGCCAGCCAAACGGCAGCAGCCCAAAAGGGAATGCACCGAAAGAAATTGAGTGCTAAATCAATGCAATCAATGATTATAAATTTAACTACATCAGGATAATGCTATAGCATTTCTATATTAGGAAAATTACAAGGATCCTGGGTTTAATTTAAACCCTTTTTAATAGAATTCCTTGCCATTTAAGACTTGTGAATAGATGAGCTCATAAGGTGTCAGCTAGCAGATAGCTTTCTTGCCGTGCATTAGCCCACCGACAGTGCTCGGCATGTGGGGATCCGGGAGGATACATTCGGTCGCGTGCCCTGCACCCTGGTGGCCACCGTCACCTTGTGTGTGTTTATATGAAATTTTTCCACTCACGACTCCCCCATAAAAAAGTTTGCTGCCAGTTAAACCAACCAGCCAAGCAGTCAAAGCCCAACCAGGCCAACAGGGCCAGGCCAAGCCAAAGCCAAAGCAAGTAACCTGGTCGCTTGGTTGGTCTGAAATGGTGTGCTGGCATGGTGTGGTGTGGTGTGGCTATGGCATGGTGTTGCTGCTGATGTCGTTGATAAGTGTTGGCCCCAAACGCAGACCGTTCGTTGTACAGTGGTGCCAGGTACCAGGAAACTCAAGGGTTATGAGCTCCACACCTCTTTATTACAAGAAGTTTTGTGTGCCCAACAGTACAATTTCAACACGATATATATATAACATAACTTGTAGGAATGGTAGAGACATGCATTTGAGTTGTTTAGATAATAATTCTCCTATATAAATTAAGGAATTTAATGCTTACTCTGCTTATGACATCATTAAACACATATTCAATTGATTTAATACATATTATTAACCAGAAATAAGTAGCAACCCTTGGGTAGAAAGGGCTCTTTGGTTCATAAGAACATTCCTGATAACCAAAAATGAAATCCATTGATATATCGGCTCTTACGCTGGGTAAACAATTATTCATAGGTAAACATTCATTGGCATATTCCGCGACAGTCAAACAAAAGCCAGCAGAAGCCGAATACATACTCATCGTATTCGTATTCCTCCCCCTTGGCGGTCATGAATATTTCATTTGTGTGTCGTTGCGCGCGGGATTACCGAATTGCTGTGACCACGGTGCAACCCCGGGACCAGGTCCAGGTCCTCCACTCCACTCCATTCCCTCTCGGCTGCCATCTCCTCCGGGATCGTTGTGTGGAAACCCCCTGCGCCCGTTCGCCCGTTGTCGTCAGTCATTTAGGCGGCGTGTCGTGCCTTATTGAGTGTAAATCTGTCGACAATGCGCACATACACTGCGATATATACTGTGTGTATATACATATATCTTCTCTTTTTTTTTTTGTTTGTTGCTTTTTTTCGCCTGCCTGTGCAGATCCGATGAGAGTCGGGGCAGCCATCGTCGTCGTCGTCGTCGCTCCCGTAGCTGTCGCTGCATTTAATTAATTGATTTTAATTGCCATAATTTGTGTGCCGCTGCCACACAACCGCAGCACCGCCGGCATTCCTGATGAGGCGGCAGGCAGGCCGGGCAGGCAACGCACTGTGTCCGTCCATCGGTTTGGCTGTCATTGTGCATTGGCAATGATATTGATTCATAAGCAAATTTAATGATAATTCCTCTTGCTGGTATGGGGTATGGGAATGGGAATGGGAATGGAAATGGGAGTGGCGGAGGAGGCTTACTTAGCCGCCTCGTTACAGTTATTCGCGGACTTACTTGAGCGGAAAATCTGTTTACAGCTGCACGCACACTCGAGAGGCCGCGCCAGACGAAGTCGAAGAAACAAAAAACCAGACAGCCAGCGATGGCCAGAAAAAAGTGGAGTAAAAAAACCAGACGGAAAAGTTATAGGGGTAGCCGAACTGAGGGACACCCTAGGAGTCAAATTCTATTAAATTTTGAGTTTATTTTAATAGTTTAAAAAAGTTAGACACAGCTGAAATATTCCCTTTCTTGAGCATTACTTAATCTTAGGGTTAGTTTGTACTATGAAGTCGAATTTAATAGTTTAATAAAGTTAAACAAAGCTTAAGTATTCCCTTTCTTTAGAATTACATAACCTTAGGGTTATTTTGTACTATGAAGACCTAGCAGAGAAATTAGATGACTCTCCAGTCGAATTTAATAGTTTAATAAAGTTAAACGAAGCTTAAGTATTCCCTTTCTTTAGAATTACATAACCTTAGGGTTATTTTGGAATATGGAAGCCTAGCAGGGAAATTATATGACTCCAGTCAGAACTTTCAGCAGTACTGCTTAAGATCTTAAAATACAAGGTAAAACAAAGGTTTTTGATCACATTAAAGGCATTAAGCACACTTTTTATTATAATAGAATATTCATCAGTATATATAAAGAGTATTTTTAAAGGATCAAAGAGTTCAAGATTTAAAAGAACATATAAAGGCTAAAAGAAGTCCTAGTGACTTATTAAGACGCCCTTCACTTTTTTATAAAAATATATAGACTCCCAAAAGATAGGGCATAAATGAATGACCAGTCAAAGGCAAGCCGAACCGAAAGCAAAACCATCCATCCGTCTGTCAGTCGCACAGTCCAATCCTCCGAGTCCCTTCGGGGCCTGTACGTGGCGGACGACGCATTAACATATGCAGGCGATTAAGTGGCGGAGAGACTCAATCGTCCGACAGCGTAAACCCCTAATTTCCAGAGCCCATCAGCCGTATCCTCCTTCCCCCACCAGGTCCATGTCCATGGCCCCGTCCCGTCCCATCCCGTCCACGTCACATCCCTCCACTCATCGCGCTACTCCATCGTTCGCACATTACATGGCATTATTTTTATGGATTATTTATTTATGCATGTTGATATGAACTTCATCGCTTTATTGAAAATGCTTTTGGCCCCCGCTCTCCCCTACGTTGATGATGTACCCTGCCCCTGTGCCCCTTTGCCTGATGTGGCTAAAATCATTTTTTGTTTAACGAATTTTCTCTGTGTGCTTGGATCTATTTGCAGTTGAATTTTCATATCGTAGAGGGCATAAAAAGGCTTAACACTGGACCGGAAGCGTGTTTTTAAAGGGTGATGGCGGCCTCCACTCAAGGAGAAATTCGAGTGGGTCCCGGCCACCAGGTAAACGATGTCTATGTACGTACATAACTCTCACAAATCAGAAATTCAGCTCACGGTAACAAACAAAAAAATTGAAAAATTAAAGAAATAAAACAAAGAACTACAAAATTTAACAATTATGCAAAACGAAACAAAAATATATAACCCTTATTTCTTTTGTTTATTGCAAAAGTTGTAATTTATATTCCTTTTGTTCCTCCTCTTTGAATGTCTTCAACAAAATCTTTCACTGATTGCTTTGTTTCGTAGCCTTAGAAGGAACGGGAAACGCGAGTAATTAAAGAACTTAATGTGCCCCAGTTTCCGTTTTCGAATCAAAGCGAAATATGTTTCTTTTTCATACAAATTTTCAGTCTCTGACTTGATGGAAATAATAAATAATCATAAAATAAGGAAATTATATATAAATCAAAGAAGCTTGTAAAGTATTCGGACTCTTAAGCAAGTTTTTTCCTTAGTTTCTTTGGTTAACCATTTTGTTATATATTTTTAAAAATTCCCCCGTTTCCTTCGATAAGGCTACAGCAATATGCATTTCTTTAATTAATTTGGTTACTTCTATAACCGTATAACCTTTTCAATTATCCTTGTAAATAACGCCTAAACCCTGTAAATAATTTGTAGTTCTAGCGTTTATGCAATTGGCTCTTACTAGTTCTGAATCCTCGACGCGTAGAAGTTGACCCAAAAGATCCCAACTGACCTTTCCCGTGTTCCCATGTCCCCATGTTCCCGTTTCCCCGTGTTCCCGTGTCCCAACGACATCCGTTCGAGGAAATCCGTAGCACACATTATATACATTATTCATCCATAATCATGCATTAGCCTTAAGTTTGTGTACTATCATCTCGTGGGTGGTGGGAATCCCCCCCGGATTCCCAACACCAGCTGTCTTGCCTGTGGTGTGTGTAGAGCGTGTGTGTGTGATGTGATGTGAAGTGGTGTGGTGTGGTGTGGTTGTATGACTAACCCATCAATCGTTCTCCTGGAGTTTTTGAACTAATCCCGAAACTTTTCGTTTGTCTCCTATGACGACTGAAGGCAAAACTGCCCGATTATAATCCAATCTCAAGCTTCCCCATCGACAAGGAAACCGATGAACGTGAACTAGAGGAATCAAGATGGAGTCCAGGCGTTGTGGCCGATGGCGATTTGTTAATGTTCTTGCGTGCGGCTCGCTCCATGGCTGCATTTCAAGGAATGTGTGATGGCGGACTAGAAGACGGTTGTTTAGCTGCCAGTCGCGACGACACCACAATAAACGCACTCGACGTGGTGAGTAACCGTACATGATGCACTTCCCTGAATCCCATTTAATCCCCTGTCTTACAACAGCTCCACGATTCTGGCTACGATCCAGGCAAAGCTCTACAAGCACTCGTAAAGTGCCCCGTTTCGAAGGGCATCGACAAGAAGTGGACCGAGGACGAAACGAAAAAGTTCATCAAGGGTCTGCGACAGTTCGGCAAGAACTTCTTCCGCATCCACAAGGACCTGCTGCCGCACAAGGATACGCCGGAGCTGGTCGAGTTCTACTATCTGTGGAAGAAGACGCCCGGCGCGAACAACAACAGGCCGCACCGGCGGCGCCGACAGAGCGCCTTGCGCCGCAACCGTGTTACGCGGGCGAACAACAGTAATAGCAATACACCTCCCAAGAAGGAGGACACACCGGAACCACAAACTGCGACGACGGCGACGGCGGCGGCGACCGCGGCGTCCGAGACGGCGAGTCGCTCCTCGCCCGCTGTCTCCAAAGAGGAGAACAGCTCGCTCACCGAGGACGACGCCAGCGAGTGCGACAGTGATTCGAGTCTGACCCACAAAAGGGATGAATCACCCTCAAGGATGAGGACGCGAAACAAGCAACAGAACAACAACAGCAGCAGCACCAGCAGCAACAACAACGCGGCCGGAAACGGCAGTGGCGGCGGTTCAGCCGCCTCCGTGGGCACAGGTTCAACCGGTGGCGGCGGTGCCGCTGGCGGCAACAGCTCTTCCAAGGACCAGACGTCAGCCAACGCCGTGGCTAATGGCAAGCGGCCCAAGCGCGGCTCCGAAACGCCGGACGCCGCCGGCGGAGGAGCCTCCTCTGTCGATAGCCCCAAGACCCCCACAAAGGCCGTGGCCGAGAGCTCCGCCACCAAGCGCAAGGGTGGCAAGCAGGACACGCCCAACAAGAAGAAGCGTACGGAGCAGGAGGCCAGTGAGCCGAGCGCCCAGGAGGAGAGTGCGAGTGCCGTTGTCAAGGACAAGCGCAAGCGACCGGACAGTCCGGTGGAGAGCATGAACTCGGACAGCCGGCCCGACTCCGTGCTCGATGATGGGGAGTCCAACACGACGGACACCACCACTGCCGAGCAGCAGTCTACGAAAGACAGCAAGGAGACGACGGTTAGCTGCAAGGAGGAGCGCGATATGGTCACCAATGATCTGGAGGCCAAGGCCGAAGAGAAGGCCATCAAGGCTGAAGCCTCGGCGGAGGACAGCAAGGACAGCGCCATCAAAAACATGGATGAGGAAACGAACATGCAGGCGCCGAGCAGTGTGGAGACGAGTTCAACGGACGGACCCAACCCCAATGTGGTTTCCATTCCTGTTGCGCCACCAATTACCATGAAGGTGCCCACAATAGCCACTGTGGAGGCTCTGAATGCGTCCGTGGACCGCAAGGAGGCCATTGAGAAGATGGAGACGGCGTGCGATAGTGATCCCGAGATGCTCAAGAAATTGGCCACCATTAAGCAGGAGGCTTCTCCGCAGCATCAACAGCACCAGCAGCAGCAGCAACACCTGCAGCAGCAATCCCAGCAGCAGCAGATGCAGCAGCAACTTGCGCCGGTCGGTATCCAACCACCGCCAGTATGTCCGCCTTCAGAGAGCGTCTACATCAAGAAGGAGCCAATGGAGGACTCCATGGATGCCACCTGCAATCAGAACAGCAACGAACCGCAGGACCTGAAGGTGAAGATCGAGATTAAGAATGAGGATGCGCTGAAGCACAGCTCCGGAGGTTTGCCACCATCCGGTCCTGGAGGTATCCCACCTTCGGGACTGCACCCGCTTTCCGGCGCACCGGTGGAGAGCGGTCAGCCGGAACCGCTGCACCTGCAGCACCTACCCCATGGTCCGGTGCCACCCCAACCGCCCGCCGGTTACCTTATCGATGGCCAGCTAAAGTACGGACCTCCGGGACAAGGCGGACCGCCATCACAGCCACCGCAGCTGCATAGCGATGCGGCAGGACCAGGCGGCGTCGGTGGCGGAGCTCCTCCTGGAGCGCCAACAACGCCGCAGAAGTATGCGCCGGAGATGGAGCTGAAGTTCACTCCTCAGGATCTCAAGTACCCGCCGCCGCCGCCCCTTGATGCGCTCAAATATAGCCAGGAGATGCAGGCTGCGGCAGCGGCAGCAGCAGCAGCGGCTGCTGGCAAGTACGAAATGAAGTACATGATGGAACAGCCGGGCAAGTATCCTGTCGAGCTGTCCGCTGCCCACCAATCGCAGGGGAAACCCGGTTACCAGGATTCGCTGAAGATACCGGACGTAAAGCCCGGCTTTGGCCACCTGCCGCACAACGTGGGCTCGCCCCTGGACGTCGCGCACAAGTACGGCCCTCCGCCCACGTCCCAGGAGTCGCAGCAACCGCCCCAGCCTTCCGCTCATCAGGTGCCGCCGGGAGCGACGCCACCTCCTGGCATAGCCATGCCCAAGCCGCACTATCAGCACGAAGTGCAGACGCCACCGTTGGGACGGCCCTTCGAGCCCTCGGGCCTGATGCTCAAGTACAGCGACCCACTCTCGGCCAAGTACGGTCCGCCGCAGGATTTGAAGTACCCGCCGATGCCGCCGGTTTCACAGGCAGGTCCCTCGGACGTAAAGCCGTACGGCGGCGAGAACTTAATCAAGTCCTCGCAGTACGGACCGCCGCCAGAGAGTCCAATCGACGCCTCTGCCCGCTCTACGCCTGGCCAGGACAGCCAGGGCAGCAACAGCAACTCGCAGCCGCCCTCGATGCCGCCGCAGCCGCAGCAGTTCCAGTCGCCGCATCCCTCGCCGCACATGCCTTCGCCAGCTGGACTGCCGCCCGGAATGCATCCGCAAAATCTCATCCACGGCCCGCCTCCAGGTTCGGCAGGTGGACCGCCGCCGCCGCCCACGTCGATGCACCAACCAACGCCGACGGCCCCGGGTCCGGGTCCACCGAGCTTGCAACACGGCCTTCATCCGAGTCAGCAGCATCCGCAGCTTTCGGTCGCCTCGTCGCTGCCGCCGAGTTCCATTGGAATTCCACCCACGCTATCGACGATGGCGCCGTCGCACATGCATCCCCACCTGCATCCGCACCCGCATCTGCAGGGTCTGCACCGGCCGCACGACATGCCGCCCAGCATGCATCCACATGCGCCGATGCCGCTCTCGCTGCAGGGACATCCGCAACACGGTCACGGCATGCCTCCTTCGCATGCGTCCCAACAGCAGCAGCAGCAGCAACAACAACAGCCTCCCGGCGGACCAGCAGGCACCGTGCGCACTCCCTCGCCTGCCCAGCAGCAGCCTCCCCGATCCCTGCACGATCCGCAGTCGCGGGAGCCGCCCAGCTCGCAGCCATCAACGACGATGGCGGGATCAAGTTCTGGACCTGGTGGTCCGCCGCCGCAGCAGTCTCCGCACGCGCATAGAACTTCGCCTCTGCCAGGACTCTCGGGAAGCGGGCCACCACCGCCGGGGCTCATCGGGCACCCAATGCCGATACACCCGCACCTGGCGCACTTACCGCCAGGTCATCCGGCCCACGCGGCGCTAGCCCATCCGGGGCACCACCTGCTGTCGCACTCGATAGCCGGCCTGGGACCTGGCGGTGGACCCATCGCCCTGCTGGCCGGACCTGGCGGCCTCGGAGGTATTCCCGAGTCTGCACTGAGTCGTCGTACCCCGCCCTCGCACCTGCCACACTCACACGCCTCCTCGGGCCCGGTGACGCCGCATTCTGTGGCCGCCAGCATGGCGCCCACCAGTGTGTCGTTGACCACCAGCACGGTGCCCTCGTCCGCCTTCAGTCGGGCCAGTCCCAGCGTACAGATCTCCAGCAGTGGCAGCGGGGCTCCGTCTGGTCCTGGCAGCGGTGGACCTGGAGGAATGCAAAATTCCTCCGCAGCGGCTGCAGCCGCGGCGGCGGCAGCTGCTCATCGTGCGGCGTCGCCTGCGTCCAGTGTGGGCAGTCTAAGCCGTCAGAGTCCGTTGCATCCGGTGCCACAGTCTCCGCTCAGCCATCATCCCTCGTCCTCCGCGTTATCCGCAGCGGCGGCTGCCGTGGCGGAAAGGGATCGGCACGCGTTGCTGCGGCAGCAATCACCGCACATGACACCGCCGCCGGTGTCCAACGCCTCGCTGATGGCCAGTCCGCTGAGCAAGATGTACGCGCCACAGCCGGGCCAAAGGGGTCTAGGCACGTCGCCGCCACCTCACTTGCGGCCAGGTGCCTCACCACCAGTCATTCGTCACCCGCAGATGCCTCTCCCGCTGCCACTGATAGCGCCTGGTGGCGGTATTCCGCAAATCGGAGTGCATCCGGGTCAGTCTCCATATCCGCACCCCCTGCTGCATCCCTCGGTGTTCTACTCTCCGCACCACCATCCCTTCAACTCGCCATATGGCTATGCGCCGTACGGTCCTGGGTTCCCGGCCTACATGAAGCCGCCACCGCCGGCTGGACCCTTGGATCCGGCTGCTGTGATGGCCGCCCACCATGCAGGCCTGCAGGGTCCACCGCCGCAGCAAGTGCGCCAGGATGAGCAGAATGCGGCTGCAGCCGCTGCAGCAGCAGCAGCTCATTCGGCCGAGAAGCAGCACGCCGCCGCCGCAGCGGCTGCAGCAGCCCAACAGCTGAAGGCACCGCAGCAGCAGCAACAGCAGGGTGGAATGCAGCCCAACAAGCCGCCGACGCCAAAGACGCCGCAGGGACCTGGTGGCGGGATGCCAACTGGGATGGGCGGCCCAGGAACACCGACGGGCCTGCCGCCAGGCGCCTATCCCGGCAGCCATATGCCAGGATATCCGCCAGGGCCGCCCCATGGTTCGCCTTTTGCGCCGCAGGATGGCCAACCGCACGGCATGAAGCCCACATCGCACATGGATGCCCTGCGAGCGCATGCACACTCGGCAAATTCGGCGGGGCTGGGCGGTGGACATCATCCAACGGAGCCACGTAAGATGAATGCTCGGACTCGAGCCTAGGATCGTTATTAAACCTTTGTTTATATTTTCCGAGCAGTGCCCATTGATATAGAGCCGGATCCGGAGCCAGAGATACCCAGTCCTACGCACAACATACCACGTGGACCTAGTCCCGAGGCGAAGCCGGACGACACTGAATGCCATCGCTCCCAGTCTGCCATGTACGTCGATTTTATAACCCGAAAAGTACTAAATCTAATTTAATTCCTCCTTATTTATTCACAGATTTGTGCGGCACATCGATCGCGGGGATTACAATTCGTGCACGAGAACGGATCTAATCTTCAAGCCGGTGGCCGACTCGAAGCTGGCCCGCAAGCGCGAGGAACGCGACCGGAAGTTGGCCGAAAAGGAGCGCGAGCGGCGTCAGGTTAGTGGAGATGCCGTCATCATTTCAGCAATAGCTTCCAACTATTCTCTTATGCATTTCACACAGCAGCAGCAGCAACAACAGCAGCAACAGCAACAGCAGCAAGCGGCTGCCGCTCAACAGGCGGCGCAGCAGGCCAAGATGAAGGCGGAGCTGAAACCTCCATATGCCGATACGCCGGCACTGCGCCAACTGTCCGAGTACGCGCGTCCCCATGTCGCCTTCAGGTGAGTGTCTGAAGAGAAGAAGGCACTCACTGCGAGTTTAGAGTTTTCCGTTCGGTGTTTAGGAGTCTTCGTCTGTTCAGTTGTCTTCCGTCGTTTTTTCCCCCCTTGTTAAGTCGCGTTTTTTAATCGTAATTATTTCAATTCGATTCAATTTCAGTCCTGTTGAACAGATGGTGCCATATCATCATCCAATGGGCCCCATGTACAGAGAGAGGTACAGTACCAAGCCCTAGCATTCATCTCACTGCGAGAGTCTATTCATTTCATCCAAACTCATCCATAATCCCGTTCACATCTCATCAAAATTCCATTCACCAGCCATTTCCTTTAAAACACCATTCTTACATCCTTTGAGTTTACATAAAGTGCGATTCGGGGTCATTAAATTAATTTGGAAGTACTTCTTTTATTTAAATGAAAAGTATTTTTGATCTATAGTCAAAGAAAATTAGGAAATACAAGCCCGAAAAGCACTTTGTTCTGTTAAACTCAATAACACTTCTTCCCCATGCAATCACGAGCCAATGACACTCTTCCCGCTTAATCCTCGCCAGCTTTTTAAACCCAATTCGGATAATATTTGTTATGCACAAGTCGAAATTAAATCTTATCATTTGCCAAATTCACCTACTCCAAGCCCATGCTTCCCTAACCCAAGAAAAGAGTATATTGATGCCCCCACCACTTGGTGTTCGTTGACCCTGAATTTCTTCGGATTACTTGCAGGGAACTGGAGGAGATTAAGAACGCACAAGCCGCTGCGGCGAGTCAGTCCCGACTCGATCCGCACTGGATGGAGTACTACCGACGGTTGGTTAAAGTTTCCCAGTTAATTATAAATTGATCAACTAATAATGTAATCGTTTCTTTTTACTATCTCTCAACAGGGGCATCCACCCTTCGCAGTTCCCGCTATATGCGAATCCGGCGATATCGCAGATGGAGAGGGAGCGCCTGGGAATTCCGCCGCCGCACCATGTCGGCTTAGACCCGGGCGAGCACATGGTGCGTATGGTAGGCTACACTTCTTTTTTACTCTCCACTCGACTCATATTCACAAAATCAATCGTATTTGGAACGTCAAGCGATCGAACCAATCACTATGTCCACTCTGTCAGCTTGTCACCTGTTAACCAGTCCAGTCCCACTCACACATAACATAAAGATGCAACCCAGCACGTGCCCCGTCATGCTGTTCATGTTGAGTGCGCTAACCATTAATTGCCCTGCCATGCCATGCCATGCTTTCGCCCACTTCGATGGGCGATGGGGCGGGCACCTAACCAAGTCAAATCAAAGATCGAAACGAATCGACATTTGTCGCCATCTAACCCGCATTACGCATCGTTACATAAACACTCTGTTATCTTCTATTGGCGTCCACGCCCATGCAGCACTACTGGCTCTTTTGAAAACTTTCTACGATATTCCGATAATAATTTCAGATACGATTGACGAGAGAATATCATGCACACTCTCATACTCATTTACATTTGCCTTTGCATCCACAGCCGCAACCACCGGAGGCCGGTTTCCAACTGCCACGTGAGTTTGTATAGCCCTTCGAGGTTTTGCGCCCAGCGCGTCTCCACCTTCCCTTCCGGACATTTAATATAACTGATCCACCTTGTTTTGTCTCTCTTGTTTTCCGCATTTTAGCGAATGTTGGCCAGTATCCGCGGCCAAATATGCTTATACCTAGGGAGCCGCACTCGGATGTCCTGCTGCGCATGTCCTATGCCGACCAACTACAGGTTTCCCAATTCCCCGACCCGCCTCCTAACTCATTAATTACATATATACAGTATTTACAGGCCGCCGAGTTCCAGCGACAATCCCTGCACGATCAGTACTTCAGGTGAGTCTCGTTGGGTTTACAAAATGGGTTTTATAAGTATGATAACAGAAGCCTTTAAATTAAATTAATGATCTCTTATAAATGTCTACAACACCAGAGCTTAAAGATAACAATTGACCACTTTTGATATAATATTGAGCGTTTTATTTTTCCGGGCTTAAGGGACTTTTCCTCTCAATATACTTCTACATTCTTACTTTGTGGTCTCATAACTTAGTATGTTTTTGCTCAATGAAGATACAAATTTATATACTATTTCTTTGTTAATTACGGGATAAAATTATGATTGAAATTTTTAATTTATCGGCATTAAGTTTTATTCAATAATATATCAAGTTATATTTGTAATATGTGATATGGGATCTTGATTCTTAAGCTAAGCTCATTCATCTCATTGAAATATGAATATACATTTATTTATCACTGTCACCGTGTCTGTTTCGGTTGCATTTATGTTTATGTTTATGCTCCTGTTTCCGTTTCCGTTTGATCATCGCCCCGATCTCTCTCATCCCCACAGACAACGGCCCAGATAAGTGGACGCCAGGCGGCAATGGTAGAGAGCAAGCAACTGAACAAAGACAATACTCGGGCCGTGGCCGTGAGGAAATGCTTTGTGTGATTTTTGTGTTCAAGCGTTTACATTTTGTTTTCCACACAACACATCCACGCACTCACATCCAAACCCCAAACATCAGCATCAACATCATTATCAGCAAAGACGACGCCAGTGCATGGCTTGAGAATCCAATCCAGAAATCAAGCGACTCTAAGTTGCGCAACGCCTTGTCACGTTTTTATGTAAAAAGTTAGTAATTTGTTTTTTATTTAAGTCATCCTTATGCTTCAACTCATCCTTGTTGTAATTATTTATTAGAAATTATTGAAGAACCCAAACTAATGTATGCGATTTTGTACTACAGGAACCAGCTGCGTTAATCCCGGGAGTGGACACATTCACCTACTGACCAAGGCATTCAGAATCAAAAAGCAGAAACCAACTACAAGAAACTAAACTAAACAAAACAGGACACGATGGTCGCAATATCTTTTAAGTATCCTCTTTTTAGTGTATAGTGTTAAATTCTTAAAACCTAAGCTAGACGAGCAGCGATTGGAGGATAGGAAGATGATGTTGAATACAGTCTAGACTTAGATTAAGGCAACGGAACAAAAAACAAACAAGATAACTTGGCACACACACACATTTTTATTGAGGTTTTCAACAAACTGCATATACATAGATACGAGTGTGTGCTGCACTTGGTCAAAAACTAGCCACTAAGCTCCATAAAAATCAATTGATTTTGGAAGACACGAGGATAACTAAGCAAAAGCAAAACCAAAACACAGAAACACTCACCCGCACTTGCTGTGCAGGAGGCAAGGTACATAAATTAGTGTAGGAAAACAATTAAGGATACATAGGCAAAGAGCGTTCATACATCTATATCTATATATATTCGAGAGTGTATTGTACAAACGGATTCGGAGTTTTTCTTTAATATTGATTGACACTCCTCTACATATAGTTAAGCATATATTTTAATTTTAATGTACTTTCAGCCACAATTGAACTATTTAAATGTACGGTTTAACATACGCTTGCTGCTTAACCTTCGACCTTTTAGCTGAAATAAAAAGCAAAGAGAGAAGACGAAACACGCCAATGCCTAGATTTTGCTTCCCTTTGTGTTAGCGTAGCAAGCCTTGCTTACCCACTAAATAATTGCTACTCATTAACTTATTATTTGCTATTACGACTAGAGTATTATTGTCGCGTCGTCGGAAATTTGTAAAAAGTGCATAATAAATAACGAAACAATGGGTATTAAGTGGAATGATTGGATGCTGCTCTCCAGGCCCCACGCAAGCACAGCAATCTGAATAGGTGTGTCATGATGCCTGCATTTGAAGCAGCCGCAATTTCGAGTGCTTAATTTATACATTAGTAATTTATATACAATTTATTATACGCAAAATCATGCATAAAATATATATATATATATTTAAAGCGGTTTATATTAAATATAAGGCCAACATAGGAACGAAGGTGTGCAGAGATAGAGAAAAACAAAGGGAAACATATTTTTAAATACCGTTTTTTATTTCACATTTTGAATATACACATTGATATAAATATTGTAGCTATATACATATATATATATATATATATATATATATATTACTTATAAAAGTTTATTGTAGGAGTCTTGCAAGCGCATATTCAATGGCACACAAACGACATAAAAGAACAGAAAACAAATAACAAAATACAAAAGCAACACAGATTTTGCGTAGTTAACATTTAAGATTGTGTAAAGTAAAGATCCATGCATATTTATATATATATACAACAAAAAACACACACAAATGCAGCTATATTATTGCAGCTATATTACTAAATAAATTATAAAAACAAAACAAAAAAATTAAGAAAACAACAAAAAAGAAATCATACACAACTCGATGATAGCAACACACAAAAGATAAATTATTGAAAAACCTGTAAAAACTAAGTAAAACAAAAATAAAATTAGTTACATTAGTTACCAAAATCCCAGAATAACTTCATTTAACCATGTGTATTCCGGAGTGCAACCAAGGCCCATAAACAAATACCTAAACTCTCCAGATCCACAATGAAAGCTTAAATTAACTCAACAATATTTGGACAGTTCAAAAACCAATCGTAGCCGTAATTAAAACAAATTGTATGGACATAGTAACAGAGCGTAACAGAAATTTAAGGAAACAAATTGCAGATAATATACATGAATTATTAAAAAAAATGGATTTAAAAAAAGTGCAAATCAAGCTTTTTAATTTGGGGTTTTTTCTCTATTAAAGCAGAGCTATTATCTTAGTTTCAACATAGCATTAACAAAAAAAATAAAATGCGCTTCTTCTTATTTGCAATACTCATTCAAAACAAAACTTAAAAGGCTTTGTTTTTAATTTGCTTGTACATTGCATTCAATTCGCAAAAAAAGGAAGTCAGGAAAATATATTGTTCTTTAGAACTGAAGCGGAAGCGCGATACAGTATAGCGAAACTAATTAGTTCTTTTAATGCCCTTTTAGGAAAAGAAACCCCTTGGGAGTCCTGAATAATAGTGGTCTGTACGAAACTACATGCGGTTTTTAAACTTTTATTTCATTCAAAACAACTTCAGTTTCTTCAAATATATTACATTACAACAATTTATTTTTGCTACGTTATATTGATAAAATATAAAATCTATTATCTTACGGTGACCTTAAATTACAGACTTTTTAAATAATGAAGTACATTTTAATCAGTGGCTTGACTACAAAGATAAACTATCCATAAACTATGAACAATAAATAAGTGCACAAATAAATAAGTTAAAATATGGGTCTAAGGTCTAGACCAGGCGGGCAGCTGAGCAGGTGGCTGCCGAAGGGGTGCTCTGTGGCTCCGCTTCGCTTCCAATCCCCACCAGACTAACTGCTCCGCCTCCAGTGGCATTGGCAAGCACCCGCTTGTAGTTGCTGCTGCACTGTGAATCCGCCACAGATCGTCCGTCACCCTCATCACGACGGCATAGATCCACCGCGAAAGGGGGAGCTCCCGAAGAGTTGGCACTGTGGATTTCCAGACGTCGTTCCAGAATGTCCGCCGTAGTCAGCTCACTGGCCTGCACAAGGCTGCTGGCCGGCACATTACTAAGCCAGGGTTTGAGGATGCTCTTCTTTTGAATAGTTGCTGCCTTGCAGCGGCATATCACATCTGCGTGTTCACCACAAATGGGACAGGTGTCCTCTGTGGCAGGTGCAGACGATCCCTCCATGGCCTCATTACCTCCACCGCCCACCACAGTGGGCATGGTGGCGCCGGAAGAGCTGCCGCTAAGCTCCAGTTCGTTGACCGCATCCACCAGGGTTTTGAGGCCGGCGCCAGACTGTGGACAACCCTCACCCAGGTTGACCACCTCCTGCTCCTCGTAGTTGGGACTCAGCAGCAACTTGGATAGCGGCGGTGCCAGGCCCAAGCCCAGATTACGTTCGTGATACAATTCCGAGATGCTAGGAGTCAGTTCACGGGTTATGTGCCGCATCATGCTGTCCTGCAAACACTTGCCACTCGACTTGGAAGCCACCGGAACCTCCTCCGGCTTGGGTTCGCTAAGCAAATCGGCATCCGACTGCGAAAAGTACAGGCTGGAGGGATTGAAGGCCACATTGGAGACTTCCTCCTCCTCGGGCAGGGCAAGGGGCTTCCTGCTGGCGGATCCATTGCCCATGGCATTACCTCCGGGTGCACTCAGCTCTGTGCGCACACTCAGCCGGTCCATGAATAAGGCGTGCTCTTTGTTAACTCGTGCTGCCAGTGAGCTTTGAGCGCTACCCAGCTTAATCTTGGGTTTACTGCGTCCACCAGCACCCACTCCAAGATTGTGGTAGGTAGGTGGACGTGGCGGCGGCAGAGGAGGTTGCTGCTGTGGCATTGCTCCACGCCGTAGCACAGTAGCATGTCCCGATCCCTCCCAGTCCGTGGTGCTGCTGGCCGAGCTGGAGCTGTCCGGACGCCTGCTTATGGTAGTCGCGGTCGCCGGTGGAGCCGTAGAAGCTGAGGTGGTCGCGGAGTAAAGGCTCCTGATGCGCGTTTGATGGGCCAAAGCCAGCGATAGGCTGGGATCTGTTACTGGTGGACTCGGTGTGAAGGCGGCATCACTCTCGCCTCCACCTCCAGGTCGAGACACTCGCACTGGAGCTCGCATGCTGGCATAACCCAGTCGAGGATTAGAGAGACCCGCTCCTGGCTGGGTGGCGTATCCATCGGAGAGAGAGTGCTCACTATCGGTGGTGTTGGCCAAACTGGAGTCCAAGCCACCGCCTCCGCCACCTGTTCCACCACCGCCGATGGCTTCAGTTCTCCCACCGTCTGGCTCTCCACGACGTCGGACGTACGAGATGAAAGCGCTTCGCGGATGCAGAGGCAGTGGAGCCTTAGTGGCCCCGTTCACAGACGGAGTACTGGTGGCCGCAGGCGGTACAGGTGGCACGTCCATTTCCGGTTCTACCAGGGATTCGCAGCTGCTGCTGTGAGCTGAGCCTGGGTCCATGCCGAGGTTCTTGGGCGCCTCGCGAGTATCTGAATTTGAAAGTTAATTATAATTAAAATATAATAATTAATAAAGCTTAAAGAATACTCACCGAATAGGGCGAGCAGTGCCTGCAGCACAAACTGACAATGACGACGGTTGGCCTGCTTTCCCGTGCGCAGGATCACCTGGTCGGCGCCCACCTCCGTCAGATCAAAGCCTACGGAGGCTAGGAGCTCATGGCAACCTGCCACTCTCCACAGACGCACACTCAGGGGCATCTCTATGAAGCAGGACTCCGCAGCCATTATATCGGTCTTGATGGAGTTCGTGCTGGAGATGGAATTGGAGCCCGGGAACTGGGCTAGGATGTTCCGCATCACGCCAATCACGTCATCAGCATACTCGACACTGTTTACGTGCACCAACTTAGCCAGAGCCTGAAGCGTGGCCGGTGTTAGGGCAAGCAGAGCCTGGAGACTGGCCGAGCACTGCGACATCCGCTCCTCGGGATCCGCTTGCGGGAAGAAAACGCTGGACGGAATCCCATTGGCGGCCGGCTCAAAGCGGAAGCCCACTGCCATCAAGAGATCCTTCCAACCCGCCACCGGACCCGCCTTGTTCTCGATACTCTGCTGGGTGGTGTACATGGCATTCTTCTGGCCTCGGTGAATCCGCTGCAAACTCTTCTCCACCAGATGCAGGCAGACGCGCAGCGCATCCCGGCATCGTTCCGGTGTTCGAAGTAGCTCACAAAGTGCATGTCCCAGGGCCACCTTGTTCGATAGTCTAACATTGCTGCCCACCAGCAGGAATCCTGCCCAGTTGGCCGGGTGGGCAAAGTGCTTGGTGTGTTGCACCGTCTGCATGGCTTCCGCCAAGGCGCTAGAAGAGGTGAATGAACTATTAGTCCAAAAAACCTTAGAATCATTAAAAGATCACTTACCGAGCTGCTCGAGCTCCCTGCAACAATGCGGAGTAGAAGGCGCGCAGCAGAATCTTGGCCGCCGTCTCCGGAACTGGCCACAGCGAGATGAGCACTGCGCCGGCTCCTGCCGTTAGCCAACCTCCTGCAAGATTAGCCACTCCGGCTCCTGTGATGGGTTCCACGGAATGGTACGAACTAAGCACCACCAAGCGGGCACTGAGTCGAAGGTGACGCAGTTCTCCTGCAGCCAGGGTGAAGTCAGCTAACTGTGGCTCATGAGGCTCCTTCTGCTGCTGCTGTTCGGCGGTGACCACATCTCCAGGACTAAGGACCACAGCGCCGAGCTGCCAGCTCAGGTTCGCTGCAAAGTGGACACACTCAGCGGAGGGTAGCTCGGCCAGCACGGACTCTTTGGTGGCATTAGACCCAGCCAGGGCGGTGGCCTGCAGCATATCCGCCACCATGGCGGCCTCCTGCAAGGCGGCGGGTGACTCGGCTCCAGCCCAACCCCAGCTCTCGGCCAGAGTGGACGGGACTCGAGGACCACCCACCACTAGGGCCTTGGGAGGACGAGCTCTGTCTCTTCGGGGCTTCGGACGTCCTCGCAGTGATTGCAGCGATGGAGCCGTCAAGATGGCACAACGCTCCGACAAATATTCGCCATCCTCGCGAGCTGCGCGCAGTATGGCAAAGGGAACCAGGTACAGGGAGCTGTCGAGCACCAGGACCAGCTCCCGCCTGCCCTGTCGATTGGTTGTAGCTCCTCCAGCCGGCAGCAGGTCGTCGAATGGAGCCAGCAGCAGATTGTACAGAGTATGCAGGCAGGAGGGTCCTCGCCAAGCGGGCAAAGCCGGAGCTCTACGCGAGCTGCGGCTGCCCACGGAACGCGTAGAGCCCTGGAGACTAGCCACCGAGCCGCCGACCGATCCCAGGGAGAACAGGGAGCTCAGCGAGTAGTTGGAGGAGTTGAGCAGCTGGTTACGGCTCACCATTCGCAGGAAGCCGCCGCCACCGCCGGAGCCACCAGCTCCGGGCAGATCCTCCAGCAGCTGCTCCGTGCTGGCTCGCCAACCACTGCCGTCGCCCTCGTGCAGAAGACTCTGCGAGTTGACTCCAAGATTGTCCCGCACCATATTCACGTAGCGCTCCAGTAAGCCATCGGGGCTGTCCTCGCCCTGTTCCCGTTCCAATTCCAGTTCCCGCTCCATATCCAGTTCCTCCTCCTCTTCGCTGAGGGACAAAGGCAGCTGAAGGCTCTGGGCATCGATGCGGGCAGCATGGAAGCGCACGATTCCGGTCTGCGGTTGCAGGAGCCAGGCAAAGAGCTGCTCCCCGGCCAGGCTATAGTAGAGCACGGGCATCCGTCCCCGGTTCACCGTGTCCTGGATGGCCTCGCTGTCCGCCAAGGGGGTCTTGCTGCTCTCCCCGCTGATGGCATCAGCTCCTCCCCGAGCCTTGCATCGTTCGGCGGCCACAAGGGCATCCTCGTTGCGATTCAGACCCACAAGCAGGACCTGCAGCAGGTGGTAGCAGCTGGTCTGCAGATCATAGAGAGCCAGGCGGGTCTCGGGGCTACGTTGTTCGTGCCTCACAGATTCCAGCAGCTGGGCAGCGGTTTCCAGTTGAAGGTGAGCACCTTCGGCGTCGCCGGAGGAGCGAAGGGCAAGACCTGGACAAGGAATATATACAAGGTATTATTGCTAAGATAATGAAAAATAAGTCTAGTGTTCCCTCACCTAGTTGATGTCTTATCTTGGCCTCCTCCTCGGACTTCCCCATTGTCTGGGCGCTCGCCAATCCCTGCCGCAGATACTCCACGGCCTGGTTGTGTTGCTCCAGCTGATGATGAACCCGACCCAGGGCCAGGCAGGCCATTGCCTTGCCCAATCGATCTGAGCTTAGTTCCAGCTGCCTCTCGTAGCATTTGAGGGCTTCGTCCTGCTGACCCAGAGATTCGTGCACGGATCCCAAGTTGCTCAGAGCTCTGGCCTGCAACGTGGGTGCAGCCAAGTCTGTGCAAATTTGCAGGTCCTTCTGGTGTAGATCCAGGGCCGCTGCATGCTGACCCATCCTTTGCTGAACCTGCCCCAAGGCGCATATGGCATCCGATTCGAGGGCACGATCCTGTAGACCTTGTGCCAGCTCCCGCTGATGTTCCAGGCAATTCAGAGCCTGCGAATGATTCCCAAGGGCAGCGTGCACATGTCCCAAGTCACCGTAGGCCAGGGCCTTGATCTCCGCACTATGCAGTTCGTGGGCCACCACCAGACGCTTCTCGAGGCAAACCAGGGCCGCCGTCAACTGACCCAGAGCCCGTCGAGCTTGTCCCAATCCACGGTAGGCTCGCTCCTGATCCCGATGACTGGTCAGGCCCAAGGCCAGTTGGAGCTGTCGATCATGGCACTTCAGAGCCTCCTCGTAATCACCCAAGGCGGCATAGCAATCGCCGAGGTGTCCCAAGGCTCTGGCTCGATCCGCTTGAGTGGAGGGCAAGGACACACGCTCCAAAGTGCCCAGTTGGGCCTCCAAACAACCAATAGCTGCCTCATAATGTGCCATATTGAGACGAGCAATTCCCAGATTTCCATGAGCCTGCGCCTCTACTGCCGCATCACGTTGCTCCTGCGCCCTCTCTAGTTGCTCCTGGTAGCACTTGACAGCATTTGTCCAGCTGCATAGCGCCATGTGCACTGCTCCCAAGTGTCCATGGGCACGACACTCACCAGACAAGTCGCCTAGCTCCTGGCGCAGCGTCAGCTCCTGGGTGTGATGCCCCAGAGCCTTGTCCCAGCGCCGCATCAGTCGATGGGCTAAACCTAGAGCTCCGCAGGCAGCTGCCTCCATCGATCGATCTCCTGCGGCTCGGGCCAAAGCCAGTTGTCTTTGATATAATTTGATGGCCTCCTGAAAGGGATATCATTCGATTATAGGTTGGATATTAAGAAATATTCCCGGATATCTAAGCAAATATTTACCTCGTGTGAACCCGTTCGGATAAGGATGTCTCCAATGTTCCCCAATGCCCTAAACTTGGCTGGCAGTTGGTTGGTGGCGTGTGCCACCGCAAGGAAAAGCTGCTGGCACTCCAAAGCGGCAGCAGTGTGTCCCAGTGCCAGGTGAGCCAGTCCCAGGTTGCAATAAGCTCGCCCCATGTTCGGCCGATGTTGGGCGTCCTTGGCGAGGGCCAGATCCTGATCGTAGTACCGCACAGCCGCACGGAAGTTGCCAAGACAAAAGTGGGCATAGCCAAGCAGGTGGCACGCCTTGCCCTCGGCAGTCACATCGCCCAGTTCCTGGGCGAGCATCAGGTAGCTCTCATAGTGCGGCACCGCCTCCTCGTACTCCTGCCGCCCGCTGAGGCAGTTACCCAGGTTGAGCAGGGCGCAGGCCTCGCCGGCGGTGTCCTTCAGTGATCTGGCGGTGGCCAAGTGAGCTCGATAATGGGTCAGAGCGGCATCATGGGCTCCCAGAGCCTGATAGGCTACCGCTAGATTACCGTGCGTGGCCGCTTCCGCGCTGCGATCGTGCATCGCCTGATTGATGGCCAACTCCTGCTTGTGGTACTTCACGGCAGCCTCGTAGGATCCGGCCATGTGCGCCATCCTGGCCATATTCCCATACGCCCGTCCCATACCCGTCCTGTCGCCCAAGGAGCGGGCAATGCCCAGATGAGCCTGGTGTAGTTTTAGGGCCGCATCATGGGATCCCAGCATTTGGTAGACAATGCCCAGATTGGAGCAGGCTCTGCCCTCTCCCAGCTTATCCCTCGCCGCCAGCGCCATGGCCAACTGTCGTTCGTGGAACCTCTTGGAGGCACTGGCATCGCCGGCACAGCGCGCCGCATGTCCCAATCCAGCGTAGGCGGCCGCCTCCATGGAGCGGTCCCCCAGAGCCTGAGCTATTCGCAGGACCTGCTCATGACACGCGGCCGCCTGGGTGAACTGACGCCGCTGATGGTGAGCAGATCCCAGATTGGAGTAGGCCCTGGCCTCCTCCACCTGGTCATGCAACTTGCGTGCCAATCTCAGATGCTGCGAGTGACAATCCAGAGCGGCTTCACACTCACCGAGGGCCAAGTACACAGCTCCCACGTTGCCGATCTCTCGGGCCTCCTGCAGTCGATCTCCCAGCTGCTTGAACAGCTGCACACACTGTTTGTGGGAGGCCAGTGCGTTGGGGTAATCTCCGCTAGCCGTGTACACGTGACCCAGCGAGGTGAGGGCGGCAGCCGCTGCCTGCGTATCCTTGCATTTCATGGCCAGCACCAGTTGGTAGCGATGGGCTGTCAGCGCCTCCTTGTGCGCTCCCTGACTAAAGTAGGCGGATCCAAGGTTGCCATGTGCCCGGCATTCTCCCGCCGTGTCACCCAAGGACTTGGCCACCGCCAGATCCTGCTGCATGTAGCCAATGGCCTGATCCAGTTGATTCAAGGCCCAGTGGGCGGAACTCAAGGCACTGAAAACGGATCCGCGCAGCTTCAGGGAGCAACTGCCGATCCGCAGGGCAGCCTCGAGAACCGTCACCGCCGCTGGATACTGGGCAGCCTGGAGCAGCTCCTGGCCCACCACCGAGCTGACCACAAATGGTGATTCCTGCAACTGCATGGTGCGCAGCTGCTGCAGCGTTGGTTCCAACGCTGTCCTCAGTGGACTTTTCAATGAGGCCTCTACGAGACCTCCCATTAGCTGCTTGTTGGTCGGCTCCTGGGCCAAACCGGAGGCAAAGGCAGCCAGAGCCTCACCATAACGACCAAGACACTGAAGGGCCACGCCCTGGCGGAAGTAAGCCTTTGGCCATTGGGGACACAAGTCCCGCGCCTGCGTAGCATCCTGCAGAGCGGCAGTGAATTGTCCCTGCTTTAGCAGAGCTGCCGACCGATTGCTGTAGAGGATGTGGTTGCCAGGATCCAGCTGAAGAGCATCCGTGTACAGCAGCACCGCCGTGGCGAAGTCTCCGCTCTGGCAGGCACCATTCGACTGGCGAACCTTCTCCAGAAAGAGAGCACGGTTCGCGGCGGGAAGCTCCGGCGTGCATTCCGGCTCGTTCTGTGGGGAGATTGATAAATATATGGATTAGCAGGGAGGGATTTTTAAGAGATATGGAAGCTTGTCTAGAAGTCATGAAGGAGTTATGTTAATATCAAAATCATGCATTACAATTGAAGAAACTCTGGAAAAACTAGAGTTTTTATTGCTGTATCGAATTAGCATTGATTTCGGGAATATTTTATGGAAGGAGGAGATGATGGAGTAGCATTCCTCAGTGCTATGCCCTAAGTAGAGCAATAAACACAACTGTACAGAAGTGGAAAAGTGGATAACTCCAGGGGCAGGCGGAGAAATGACTCTGCGAGGGAATTCGCAGGAGGAACGAGAATTGAGGAAAGCGTCTGGATGATTGCACATCTGCCGCAGTTATTGGGAAGCACAGTGGCTTATAGTAAGTGGTTTTAGACAAATTTAAAGAAAAACTGTTTTAAGATGTACTATATTTTTGGGACTTCCAAATCTTAAGACTTTTTCGTATGATTATTAGAATGGAAACGGAGCTCAGCTTTAATTGGAGGTTAAGAGGGTAACCTCATCACTTACACCTATCATGTATATTAGCCAAATTATAAATTATATATTGTCACCATTTATTCATTATTCAGCTCTCTCTCTCTCTAATACAAGTCATAAATTATTAAGAAGTTTATGATTAAATAGAGTGTTTATTTCTTTAAAATTTTCTAAAGCGGATATGACAAGTTTTTAATTTAGGTAGCACTCAAGTACAAATCATGTGAAACCTCTAACAAAAACTATAATAAAAGTAGTTTCTTTTTTATATTAATGGAAAAGGTAGGAAAACCCTTTAAATATTTCATTATAAAATAGAACAGAGTAAAGCATTTTGATTATTGAAAATTAACCTGTATGAAATATTTAATATGTAACAAAGTTTGCCTCATTCTTTCCATTTCCCTTTCAAGGATCCAAATGTATTTTCTAGGAAATATTCCGGATGTATTTCATTTGTTTTTTATACACTTTACCCACTGTGCAGTCGACACTGGGTTGTAATTATGTTAAATGCCGACGCACCAGCTTCGCGGCCAAGTCGCCAGCCCTCGGAACACAGGTATGCGGCCACCGAGTCACGTTTCCCGGCCAACTGCTGTTCGCTCCCAGATCTCAGCTCCGCAGCTCCTCAGCTCCTCAACTGCAAAGCTTCACAGCTCCCGATCCTGTTCGCTGGCCATCAAATGCGGAAGCAATTCCACGAATTCGTGGCCCAAGAACTGAGCCACGACTGCTGGTGGTGGTGGTGAATCAGTAGCTGCGACTACATAGAGACGAGGCCTTTTTGGGCATTGGATAGGCCATGGTCACGGCCATTGCAGGGACGAGACAAGACGAGACGAGACCGTGACAACGACGTGGAAATTTTTACATATTTTTTGAAGCAATTAAATGCAATGAGTATGCAAATGCATTAGGCCGCCACCGAAACGGCGACCGAGTCCCACTGCCAGGGCCAATCCCTGGCCAGGGCAAGTGCTGGTGCCTGATGTGCCTGCTGTCGCTGGCGGGGCGTGAGTTACGGATAACGTGCTTAGATTGGCCTTCTGGCCGGGACAAGCTGGACCTGAGTCTGAACCTGAACCTGGAGCTGGAGCTGGAGCTGGAGCTTGAGCTTGAGCTGTGGCTCAACCTGGCCTCGCGAATAAATCAGCCAGCAACAAAGTATCTGACAGATGCAGAACGCAATTTTCGCTTTATGCCGCTTATAAAAGCCGGCAACGGACTTCACCTCAGCGATAAGGCCCCAAATGAAGAGGGCGTTACCAAAAAAAAAAAGAAAAACATTGAAGCCAAGCGAAATGGGTAAGAAAAACTGGCTTGGATAACCGATTTACAAAATACCCTGCAAGTTGAAAGCTAATAAATATAATAACCTTTGCCTTAAGAAAGGGTATCAAGAAGAGTAGACAGAGTCTCCTTCGCGTTGGCGGTGCTAGCCAAGTAGATTTTGCAGACAAGATTACGGAACGGCTGCCAATGGTCAAAGTCGGAGCTAAAGTCAAAGTCAAAGTCAAATAAACACGCACGGAGAGGGCGAGGAACATGCCCATGCCCTCAAAAAAACAGCGACTGGCAAAGATCTCCGGCAGGAAGGGAGCGCCGACGGAATGGCATTAGCAGATGTTATCACCCTCCAACTAAAATAATAATAATAATAATAATAATAATAGCAGACAGTCGGACAGAGTTAAGGGCAACTCGTAGTGGAATGTCGATGGTTTAGGATAAGCCCAAACTGTGGGAATGCCGGACAAGAGCTCACAAATTCACTGATGACAGATGGGTAGCATTTCTTCAACGTACTTTTCTCCGTCTCGGGAATGAGTAAATGTACATTTTTTAATCCCTTCCACCAAAGATTCACCTTTAAAAGTGGTTCAAGAGCCAAGCTTAAAGTAAGTTTTTTAATTAAATACATTGAGACTCAAACATTTTTCTTTGTCGTCGAAAAATAACTGAAGAAAGGCTGAATTCTACTATCAAAAGTTAGGCAAATATGTCTAAACATTTTAATTTAGATAATTTTTAAGTTATGTAAGTTTAAGTCTTATCACCGGTAAAAAATATACTCATGAGAATTTGTTAATGAATCATATATGAGCATATAAATCATTTACATATATTCTTAATCAGAATTTACAACTAGCTGAAATAAACTAAATTACTGATTATTTTCAAGGGGTTACGTCAATAATATTGTAAAAATTCAGCTCTCTGGAGTTGAAATTAATGAAGTTACTTGACTTCAAATATGGTCTCTTGTCCAAAGGCAAATTGAAAGCGTATACCAACTTCGGTTTTCCGAAGATAGTTTTTTTTTTTGTCATAGCATAGTTTTAAAACAAATATAATTTAATTGTCAGAAATATTTATTCTAATGTAAAGTCAAAAGATGGTTCCTGTCACCCCAGAAGACTTCTTTGTGAATTTTTTTCGAAGATTACTGGTAGCAGATCTTATTTTTCGGTACCTCTAATTAACTGCTTTTCCTTCCCTTTATCATGCATGAATTTCTGGAGTTTTTTTTACATATTCTCTGCCCTTCCCTTGGCTTTTTTCTGAACCTGGATGCAAGCTGTGTGTCAATTTAGGAATTGGCGCCCAAATGGCACATAGAGAAGTCATGTAAAGTGATACGCTTGCCATCTCGCTTTAGCAATTCCAACTAAATTGGCAGCAGCAACTGCAGCAACAGCAACTGCAACTGCAACAGCAACTGCAGCAACAGCAACTGCAACAGCAACAGCAGCATCTTAGAAAATAGTCAAGAAGACGGCCAAGAATTTTATGCAATGCGAAAGGGAGAAACAGAGGATCGAGGCGGAGATAGAGATAGAGAGAGAGAAAGGAAGTCGGCGGTGGAATTCAGGAATGCCAGAGAAAAACCTGCGATTCGAGAACTGGTCGCCGTTTGTTGCCTGTCCGCCCAACACAAAAAAAAAAAAAAAGAAATGAGAAACAAAGGTAGCTTAGGCAAGCCAAATTGGATATACCCTTTAAATCTCTTTTAATAAAACTAAAATTGACTTCTGAAAGAAGTAACATCTTCTATATTATATAAATATTTTAATTTACAGGATAATATCTTTAAAAACCACATAAATATGCAGTTTTTTTGCAATATTGTGGCTTTTTCCGATTGTAATAGTATCTTATTTCGTATAACTTTCAAACTCTATATAAAAGGAGAGCAAGTAAATCGCCTAAAAACCTAGACACACATATACACGAGCCTAGATCAACTTGCCTGCTGATGCTTATTAATAGAAATCTCCAATAACTTGATACTGTTACAAATCTCTTAACAAAACTTATACTTCCTCTAGTAAGAGTAACAGAAGAGTGAAAAAAAAGCACGGAGCAAGACAAAAAGTGGCACCCATAGATGCACTCGGGCGGTTGCCTGAAACCATGGAGTCTTTTTGGAGTGTTTGTGTGTGTGAGTGGAGAGTTGGTAGCATCTGTGTGTGTGTGTTGGCCAAGTTTAGAGCCTGCCGCTGTTAGCCCCAGAGGCTGGCCAAGAGAGCAGCTTCGATAAAGTCTGTCCGTCGCATTGGAATGCGAACAATTTCACGATTGCTTGTGGCGCACATTGGCATGTTCTGCGCTCAACTTGAGAATTTTGTTGCAATTTAACGCGTAATAAAATAATTAGCTGCGGGCTCCGAAACTCCCTCTATTTCCCCTTCCTGAGATCCTCCCTGCCCCTATGGTCTGTGATCCGCTCTTGCCATGAAGCTAATCCCGGATTATCCCCTTCTAAAGACAGGCAAGAAGTTGAGAAGTTGGGAAATTAACTTTAGACGTTTAGTTCTTAGTTTTAGTAGGTCTAGAGTCTAGACATTAGGGTGAGATTTATGACTTGACTTGGGTTTATATTGCTTCGTTTATATTCTTTGCTAAATTCTGTCTCCACAGATAGTTAATTAAATTAAAGCTTGCAATTAGCTTGGAAACATTACCGGAAATTAAATTATAATAATATATTAAATAGTCTTTTGGTATTATCCCGGGCTAATGGGTAATTGCTCTTAATTTTACAGAATAAAAGCTACACTTAAATGATACTGAGGGTTTGGTAGTTATTACAATATTAATATGACTTAAAAGTCTAAGCATTTTGTGAAGCTTTAACTCACTCTGTATAAATATATTATAAGATGTATAAATGTTTCCAAAATTCCTGTATTTCTTTAACCTTAATACTGTGTATCCTTTGCATGCCTATCTGCTCACATCACCTTTTTAAGTAAGCCCTAAATATTCGGATGTTTAGGCCTTAATCGAAATCGACATTAGTCTGGAATTTATGCACTCATTTGGCTGCTGTTTCCCCTCTCTCCCCGAAATTCCTGGCCACGCTTCTCCGATCACAGAATCTCGAATGGTCACTTCCTATCGTCCGTCTAGCTGCCAAAAGGAAGGGATTGTGGAGCATTTGGAAGGGACATCGGGGGACAGGAACAGGGACACTCGAAAGGCAGTCATTCAGTCAGTCAGTCAGCGAGACAGGCCGCAGGGGTCTCGACTGGGACTGCGGATTCCGGACTGGTCCGTCTCGGAGACAGCGCCAGAAACTTATCCAACATCGTTGACGTTGTCGTCTGTTCCTGATGTTGTTGTGCCTGGATCGCTTGGATCTTTTTTGTTCTTGCCCATGACATGACAGCGCGGAATATGATGAAAGGGCCGGGCCCAGACTACACTCAACCTCAACTCCAACTCCCGAGTCGGAGTCAGAGACAGAGTCAGGGTCAGAAGATGGTACTGGAGGGGTTAGTCGGAGTCCACAACAGTCACCGAGTCGACGAGGTTTTGCGTTTTGGCATTTTTATCTCTGTCTGCTCTGTTGGGCTTTTGTTTAATTTGGTCTTGTAGCTAAGCCCTTTTGTAGTCTTGCCGCTGAGTTAATCAACATTGAAATCATTTTGCCATCATTTTGATTATTGCCTCTGATTGTTTTTTTCCTGTATTTCCTGCACTTGCAGAAAAATCAATCAAAACTTGTTAAAAGTATTCATTTTTGTACTTGGCACCAATATGTTTACAGTATTTCTTCTTTAAATCTATTTTGTTTGTTTGAACATGCTCCCTAACTAATTAACTAAATAGTTTAATCACATTTGTAGTATGAATACCCTTTAAGGATGGTTTCAAGTGTATCTATAACATAAATCTTGTTATGTTAAGATTTCCTTTATCCTTTAACTTTTGTTAGTTTTTAGATTTCAGTTAAAATATAGTTTGTTTTTCTGATTAACTAATTTTGGGTACTATCTTATAATTACCTTATAGATCTTTTCTGTTTTATCAAATAATGGGACGATCTCTAAATATATTATATTATTTATTTATTTGTTTAGTTTGAACCCCCTCTTTCTTGCAAGTGTACTTGATTTCCTTTATGTCTTCGCCTCATCTCCTCTTTGTTAAATTTTGGAGAGCGTAATGCATGATTAAGTTTTATATATTTGAAGGCCATAAATAATTGTCATGGTGTTTGAACTGCAAACTGGAAATATATGGCTGGCAAACATGTTTTTTTGTTGTATATTTCTGTCTTTTTTACTGCTGTGGTGAGGGAGTACGGGGGGGTTTTGGGGTAGCTCTGTGTCAGCTTCCCAAAAGCAATAATAATTGAACAATAATTCGATTTCCTTTCGCCTCTCGACTTACCTCGGAGAAATCCCGCTGCGACATCTTATTCAACAGCTGCTCGCCAGCGATGGCAATTTTGGCATTGTTCTCATTATTATTGGCGGCGTGATTATTTGCATTAAAGTTTAATGGCAAATTTATAAGGTTCTCATAATTCGTCATTTGTGTGCCAGCTAGGAGTCATTAGGGCGCCCTCGGATCGCTCGTTGTCTGCAAAACAAAAGACGGTGGTAGATCGTGTTTATTTATAGAGCGGTTCTCCAAACAAAAGCCCAGACAATGAGACTTTCAAATGCCAGAAAGAGAATTCTAGGGAACTGGGAAGAGCCAAGGGACGATGTCGACGCCTCTTATGCAAATACTGGCCGATCCTCAGTCGCAGTCACATAAACTTGACAATTGAATGTGGCCATAAATTTGTGCGATCCCCCAAAGCCCCTTATTCCCTCCTCTCCCTATGGACAGCTTCTCGCACAGTGGCCTCAGCTCGGCGAGAATTCTGTCTCGGTTTTGGATACGGGTTTCGGTGTCGGCACCGGGACGTGCGACTCTGATTGCGCCATTCACTTGCCAGCGGCGCCTGCCTATCAACGGCATCGGGAAAGGTGGTAGTGATGGTAGTGATGGTGGTGGTGGTGGTGGCCGCCTCTTCCCTTCGAATTTGTTATCATTTAATTGGCTTTGCGGTAGCTGCGGCAAAACTGCTCTTCTAGAGAAAGTTGCCAAAGCAAACAAGAAGCCGTAATTAAAACCCCAACCGAAAATGGCCAAAATCAATTACAGTTTCTTCTTCTCTTTTTTCATAAGCGGAAATTCGCAGACGCGATCCGATACGATCCGGTCTCTGGCTCTCATGTGGAAATTGCGTGTGTGTCTCTTAATAGGTTTCCATTGTTGGCCAGAAGCCATAGATACGGCATTAATTGAAATGTTAGGCCCAATGACAAGAGGCCAGAGTGACAGGCCTGGGGAAACCGCAGTCACTGTTCCTCCTTGGTTTAGTGCGTTCCCCCTGAATTTTGATTTGAAGGGAAACTGCAATGGAATTCTAATGCGTCAGAGTGCCCGTTATGGAGAGCCAGAGGAGATCAGATTTTCACAGGAAAATATTTATACAATTGGCTAAGCAAGATCTTATACAATTTATTTGATATTTCAATTAATTTGTCTATCAATGTTCCGCCTAAACCATATAATATACGAAAAATACCTGAAGTTAGGGTAGTAAAAAGAGGACAAATCATAAGCTCCTTCAGTGCCAAAGTGTGTGCAGTGGTCTGGTGGACTTGTGGAATTTGCAGAGTAAAATTTTATTGAGTGCACAGTTGTTCGTGGAATTTGTCTCGCGCATTTATGTTTCGCTCTGCGATATTTTTATGATCGGTGATGGTGCGGTGATGGTGGTGGTGCCGTGCACTCAATTCACTGCTATCCTCTGGCAAATATCCAATAAATAGGCATAAAAAATGCATAAACCGTAATGCATTCAGCCGGCTGTCATAAAGCGCTTATCAATTGCTCAGCCTCTGTGTGGCGGCACTTTTAACAGTTTGCTTTTATTACTTTTATTGGCTATGTTTGTTATTCTTCTCTCTGTGACTCTGCGAGCTTTTTGCACAATTATCATTCGTTTCAGCGACTCGGCCCGGCTGGGATCGGCTCGGTTTTTTAACGATTATGATGCCCGGTTTCATAGCAAATGAGCTAATTTAGATGCCTTAATGGTTTTATAATTGTACTTGGTTCCAGGTTTTTTATGGCGGCCGTGTGCGAGATCAAGTCTTTCACATGAGCGAATTATTCGCATTTGATTGAGTATTTTCTTTCTCTGTTGGTTTTTTGTTGAAATATCAGCAAGTTCGTGTCCTAAGTCTTTTGAATTTGTTTCGAAACTTCAGCGAAATTGAGACATGTGTATGAAACAAATGTGTGGAAATCGAGGGGGAAAATAACACTAATGATTATGATTGCAATTTTATGTTTTTCTGAGTTATATTACTTTTTTATAGTAATATTAAATAAGAAAACACTATTTTTGCATTGAAAGAGCTAAATGCTAATGAAATAATAAATCCTAATCGGAACATAAATTTCCCTTTAATGCTCGGCATTTGATAAATAACCATTTATAAATTTCTTAAGGAACCCATTGATTCACATATTATGTGTCGCGTTAGCATGGGCTTTTTACGAGCTTTTTTATTTCTTTTGGCCATGTTTTGCGATTGGTGAACACACATTTTTTATTGCTCCAAATAAGGCATAGTATCTTTTTCTGTCGCTAATGAACTCTCACAGTTTATTTGCACCGAAAAGTCAACAAATGCCGACGAGAATTGCTTTTGTCAGGTCATTAGTGTTGACTAAAGTTGCCTTAACTCAGGCTCCTTTGGCTCCTCCTCCTCCTCCTCCGCCTCCTCCCCTTACCGACTCGCCACACCACTGTCGCGGCCACAAAGTGTGGCAACATTCTTGCACTCGGCCACGTTGGCGGTCGTTTAACGAGCACAAAACCCAGCCCCAGGCCAGTGCGAGGAGGAGGCGGAGGACTCGTCCGCATCAACTGAACCGAACCGAACCGAACCGAAAAACATGACCACCGTTGGTCCACCGACCATGCTGGGGCTTTATTACAACTTCTATAAATGATTTCCGCTATTAAAGTGAAACATTTTTGCATAATTTTTCACTTAGAAAGGACAACAAGCAAAGGGAAAGGAGTGGCGCGGTGCGGTGCGGAGGGGAGAGGGAATTCCTCACGCTTCATGAGGCCCGCCAGGTATGCCCGAAAATTCCACACCAAAAACGCCTACCCAGACCCATATACTCGACGCTCGATCCTCGGTTCCCAGCCCAAGATCTGCTGCCAGCCTGCGACCCAGTGTCCCATCGTCAACGTCTTCTTTGCTCGGTTTTTGATAATGCCCTCAACCTCCGCGTTCCATCCCAATCTGAGATCCATCTCGTAACCTGTTGAAATGTGTGACAAATTGGGCGTAAAGAGGCCTCGGCCCAGCCCCAAACCCCGGCTCTCTTCCCTTATGGCCCACGGACATGAGACGTGGGCGTGACAGCACCGATTTCGGTTCAGATTTTTTTTTGGGCTTTTCTTTTGCGGCCGGACCGAAAATATATTTTAAGCGGTCGCAGTGCAAAAATTGAGTCATAAATTATTATGTTTAATAAATTTATAAGCTGAAGGGCCATTGGGAGAGGTGCATTTTGCGTAAATAAACTGAGAAAGAATAATGCATATAATAAGAACCTATAAAGAGCCAAGGATTATTGTACTTAATGTTAATTTAAAACTTTGTAGGAAAAGTATGCTCAACTCTGTTACAATTTTCGCATCCCAAGACTTTCAAAGTAATATGTGTAATGTTTATGCAAATTTAATTTATTATACTTTCTTTGAAATTAACAAGCACTGTTCGCAATTGAATTTCCCAGGGTTTTCATCGCTGTCACTTTCCCCCTTAAACGGCCGCGTCTTTTTCCACACATTGGACACTTGTTAACGAACAAATCGGCGACTAAATTAATCACACAACATGAGATGTGTGGTGGCGACGGTTAAAAGGTGTATATGTTTTTAGTGCGCCTTGCGTTTTCGCAGCCGTAACTGGCATCTTGTACAATTTCTTAAAAACTCATTAAAATTGCTGGCTGGCAGAGAAACATACGGACTGGATGGATGCTCGTACATATTTCCCTGTTGGCGCAACATGGTAACAGCATTGGATAGAAAAAGGAAAGAAGAAAGATGCAGGCTGGCCAAACGAATAGCAATTTTAATGAAGCCAAAGTCGCAGCCACTTGTTGCAGTTGCAGTTGCTGCTGCTGTTGCAGTTGCTGCTGTTGCAGTTGCCGCTGTTTGCAGTTGTTTCTGTGGCAGGCCGCATTGTTGCTGCCTTATAAGCACGGCATGCATTTTGTTGCCCGCAATGCGAGTGGCACGATGTAATTGACATCATTAGACTAAAGCGCAGCGGGTTCGACTAGAAAGTGGCCGGCTCTGGCTTTTCCCGGGCTTTGTCACCCCTCCTTAATCCCTCAAACATCCCAACCCCTGTTCTTAGTTGCACCGTTAGCGGGATTACCGTTTCACTGACGACACGAACCACCCGCTGCAAGTTCGTGTCCTGAGTCTTTTGTATTTCCTCGGGTCTTCCATATACAAAAAATATTTTTATACGGCAAAGACTTTTTTACTTACAATATTTAACAGAAAAAAACACAAAAACCAAAGTTTATCCCTACACTTTTAAGTTCTTAAATCAAGTTCGTGTCCTGAGTCTTTTGTCTTCTCATTGCAATTCTATAAAAAAAATATTTTTATATTGCAAAGACTTAAAAAAGCATAAAATTAAAAATTAACAATTAACTTTTAATTTTAATATATTTAAAAGAAAAACAAAGTAAATCCCCATACTTATAAAAGTGTTATTAATACAAGTTCGTTTCCTAAGTCTTTTGTTTATTCTTTGAACCAACTTTCGTTGATTCTCCTAGGCTTTAAAATCTATGTATACAAATAATAAATATATCTCAGTATTTATGGGTATATGTTAAAAAAAACAACGAAGTAATTTAATTTAATTTTTCCATACATTTACATACCGATCGTTTCTATGACAGCTATATGATATTATTTTATTACTACAACACGCTGACTAAATTATTTTCTATAATCCCATATAATTGTATTTTTATTCCCTAGTAGGTCTAAACATCAACCTTGAATGTAAATTTCCCACCCAATAAATGCTAAATATATGTATGTTAACTTAATTGGCACCATTGGAAAAAGCACAAATGAAACGACCTTTAAAATGGAAGGCTCTTCCCATAGATTCCCTCTATTCTCTAGCTTTCCTGCGCGGCCCCGTTAGACCCGCCACCGAGTACCGTTCGACGGAGGGGCACGACCCACCGCGACGTGGAAGTCGGCCAAGGAAACCCCAGAGCGATCTCCGAGATGGGGCCCAATTATGCAAATTATTAAATGAAAATAAAAAGTAATGTAATTATTTCGTGCCGAAGATTTGAATCCCTAATGCCATTGTCACATAAATTTCGAGTTTAAGCATTTTCGGTCGAGACTTTCGTTGGGAATTTATGGGAATTAATGTATGCGCCCCCCCCACTCACCATGGAATGTGGAATCTGGGGACTGGAAACTCGGCTTTGTTCTCCAATCTCTTTCGGTGGCTTCTTTTCTTTTCCTTGTTTTATTTTATGATTGTTTCTAGCTTTGTTTTATCACAGGCTGCTGGAATTTTTGTTAATCAATTAAATGGGTGAAATTGTGCCGCGCAAAGTGTAATTATAACGAATTAAAGCAAATGATTATCACTAATTAACAATATATCGGCGATCGATGATCAGCGAGTGACCGTTTTATCGTTTTTATCTCATTATTCGCGAGTTTTCTTCGTTTTGTTTGTTTTTGTTGCTGTTGCGTTACATAAAATCTGAAGAGTTATGCAGACGCCGTTATGTTGTTGTACTTTGTGCTTTTCTTGGGCGCTGCATAAATTAAAAATTCATTTTTATGGCTCTTATGTGTCACTTTGGTTAGTAATTTATGTAGAATACGACTTGGCCAACAACAAGCAGTTCAAAGAAGAAGAAGAAGAACGAGGAGAAGAAGAAGCAGAAGTCGCACTCATACACATACACACACACAAACACTGGCACACACTTGCACACGGGTCAAACAAGTCAAACAACTTTTTTTCATCTCTTGCTGGAAGCAGCCAATCTTCGGATTGCCTTCCTTTTTTCTTCTCTTTTTCCGTTTTCTCTCTCTCTCGTTTTTTATTAGTAGCATTTACTTAGGAATGCACAAAGCGAGAACATTTCGGAAAAAAATTACAGCAAGTGCACAAACACATTGGAAAAATGCCTGGAAAATGCTTGTGGCCTGTATTTTTTGGCGGATAAAGAGAGCGGGAGAGAGAAAGAGAGAGACAGAGAGAGTGGTATTCCAGCATGGGTAAATATCTTCGATCGAGTTCAAAGGCCGTTTTGCCGAAAGCTTCTCAGCATTACACATTTGCTCCGCATTTTTCGCGACTTTACATTAACTTCTTGTTGTTGTTTGTGCAATAGCCACACACATACACGAACATTCACTGGTTGTTTTTGCCCGAAACAGAATTCGCGTTTTGTTTGTTCATAAAACAGGTAACAGGTAAACCGCAGTGTTGTCAACCTATCGGGTAGTAGAAGAGTTAAACTTGCCTTTGAAAAATTAATTTAAAAATTTCTTCGGCTGTAGAAAAGGCAACGTTCTTCTTGCGCGCACTGCTGCCAAATCTTTGAATTCATAGATAATTAAATAAACGTTAGTAACAAACTTTAAGTGGAAAACCGCATCCGCCGTCGTTGAGTGAATTTTTCGAAATGAATTTGGATTTTTTTTTTGTATAGAGCAGTGTTGTCAATTTAGCCTTTTTCAGGCTAGATCTAGCGTATTTGTAAACGGAAAAGCTTATGCAATTTGAAAGTAGCTTATAGTCTAAAAATAGCTTATTTTTATTAGGGGATTCCCTATACGACCAAATAAATGGATTAATATAAATATCAGCAATTTATTGCGATACTTAGCCGATATATTTGGCAGGATCGGCCCAAAAAGACACCAAATTAATTCAGTTGTATAGGGAATCCCCTAATTGAAAAAATTATGAAAAGGTGTGAAACTTGGCTTAGAGGATTTTTTTATTTTTCGTTTAAATTTAAAGAGTAAACATTTTTGATTCAGACTGAAATGTAATATGACATAATGACAACTACAAAATCAAACACATGAGAGCTCTTATGAAAATATATTGGTTTTTATTTTGTATTGAAATTATGCTAGTAAAATTAGAGCTTAAAATAAACGCTACGCTAGAACGATACTTAACCAAATTATTTGTACCTGAAACGTTGGGTCCAAGCCGCCGCACAATTTCACTATTACTCCTCTTCGCTGCCGTCGCCCAGCGGGATAAAAGCGGGAAGCGTTCCAATTGCTGGCCGCTTGAGCACTCTGCCAATTTCTTCAGTTTCTGACGGGTCTTTAGCCTCCTCCTCTTCTTCCTCCTGAGGCTCTGTTACTTCTGTATTATCTTTAGGAGTTTTTGCCTGGTCACCATCGCATCTAAAGTACCTACTGCGAATTTCCGCAGCTTTAGCTTCCGGCTTTTTCTTAGTCTTATCGATTTTTGCAACTTTAAAGATAACTGTCTTGGGCCGTAGCTTGATGAAACGCTTAGACGGCGCTTTCTTGCAGAACACACACTTGGACAACTCACACTTCCCCTGACGCTCCAGCTCCGGACATGCAAATTCGTGACGCTTATTGCACTTGAAGGAGAAAGGTGTTAATGGGTTACCTTTACAGGAATAAAGCCAACTTACCTCGGCAGCCAGTGGGCAATAGCCACGCACAAAATCAATGCAGATCTCGGCCTTGCGGCTGAGTTTCTTGTGCAGGTACGGACAATCCTCGCGGACGCAGACTCCGCGGAGAAAATAACGGCAAACGGGCATCTTCTCCATCGAGACGTTGTGCGAGAGGAGGCAGTCCGGATTGGAGCAATCACCGCGCAGGAAGCTGTAAATAGAGGATAGAGAGAATGGAAACCGTATTGGGGACTCAACACCGGGAACGTCATCGAAGTGTAAGCACTTTACGCGTGACCTGGGACAAACCTGGTGCAGATGGCGACCTGACGCTTATCGTGCAGCTTGCGACACTTGCCGCGACTATGGGCAGCACACTTGCCCAGCTTCTGGTAGATGGCACAAGGTACATTGGTCTTCACCCGCGACTTGTTCAACAGCGTTAAACTCCTGTGCCTGGCGGTGATTAGGTGGGCCCGCGACACGTGATTCGTGGTGCGAATGAAGACGTTTTGGGTCTTGGACGAGGCCACATAAGTGAGGCCACCAATATCGATGCGCCGCTTTATGGCGCGATTTACACTCATCTGTGGTGCAGGAGCTGCAGCAGCAGCTGTTGGTAGTCGTGAAGCTGATGATGATAAAACTCTCGTTAGACGACATCCTGATGGATCCAGGATGAACTTGTTCCCACTGACGAACAGCGCCCGACCAGATAACAATGGCTTGAGGGTCCGGGGAGTCGCAGTTCTGGCATCCAGTTTCGTTATCTTGTTCTTTGATAACTTCTTGTACATCACGCCATGTATGCTGACCATGCTGAGGGACTTGTTACCGCCCAGCTTTAGAACCTGTGGCTCGGATCTGCAAGAGAATTATATAGCTGCACATATAGTTTACAAAGCGGGAGGGATTTTACAAAAAGATAATCTTAAGCAGGAATATTTTGTCGGGGAAATAATTATATCAAAACATGAGCAATTAAGATATGGACACTATCTTCTTGCAACTATGTTAATAATTCCTACCTCTGTTTCTTCTTCGGCTCCGCATCTTTGTTAGTTCGTCTCAGGGCGTACTGACCTACAAACTCCCGCAGTGGCCGCCGTTTCTTGACTAAATGAGCACATGTTAGTGATATGGAACGCACCAGCTTGTACTTTGTGCTCTTGACAGGCGGCGCGAGTGGCTGAGAGGTGGGCAGAGTAGTCACAGCTCCTTGGCGCACAATCTTTCGCTTGGAAATGCTGATCAAGGGCGGCTGGGTGCGAGAAGGAACAACCACGGGTGAAGTAGGTATTGGTGGGGAAGCAGCGACCTGAACTGGAGCCTTACGCACCAGATACGTGCTTGCCTTGCTTATGATCTTGGCCTGTGGGGGTGGTGGTGTGGCTGGCACAGAAATTATTGGCAAGGGAGGCATCTGTTTGTAGTACGCAGCAGAGACCTGTTGATGCATGAACTCCTGCTGTTGTTGTTGCCGCTGTTGGAATTGCTCGTACATGGCCTGCTGACGCTGCAGGAACTGCGGATTGATGTGGATGGCGGGCGCTGGGTACTGCGGTGGTGGCGGGGGCGCCTGAAACGGCGGCAGCTGATGCGCAGCTTGGCCTTGTAGCAAAGCAGACGCTGTGCGACCATTCTGGAAATTGGGATTAATGTACACCTTCCGCGTCACGGAGGGCAGAACATCGTCGGCACTTAGATGCGGCAGCATTTCGGTAGTCGTTTTCCAACGTTATTGAACCTTTGTGATATTTATATGGATGTTTTCCGAATTGTAACACTTTTTAAAAACCTCCTTTGTACTGCGATTATTACGTGTTTTTTAGTGTGACCGTAGCTTGGAAACAAGGAAATGGTAAACAAAAATAGTAAGTTGCTGCTAAAAATACTAGGACAACATTCAAGTCTGGTGCGGGTGTATAAAATTAAATTTTCATATAAATTTTTTACAGTATTCAAATTTAATAATTTATTTTTCAAACTATTTCATAGTTCATATTTCTTTATGTTCTTTTTTGTAGTTTACTAAAAATACCGCCTAATTTAAAAATACAAAAAAAGGTCACACCCAACCACATTCATATGTTCTTGAAAACGTGGATTTGATTGGCATACAACGTTTCTTTTGGACATATTTTGAATAAGAATGGGCAAGGATCGAGGCAGAGGACGCAGGAACCATAACTCTGGGCCCTACAACAAGAGCAACTGGCGGGGCCAGAAGCGGGACCGCCCTCCCCAGAACGGAGGACAGCGCAACAAGTGCAGTGTTTGAACTTGCTCATAAGCTACAAGTACTTACCGGCTTTTATTTTTGTTTTTAGAGCTCCGCAACAGCAGAAGTCCGTCCTGCTGGAGAACCAGGTGGGCATCACGGAGTTCACAAATCCAGATGCTCCTGGATTCACTGGCATACTTAAATCGCGCTTCTCAGATTTTCATGTAAATGAGATTGACAGCGAGGGAAAGGTCTTGGAACTGAACGACCTCACCGTGCCAAAGGTGGCCATCGAACGTGTGTATTTGGACTATGTTTTCTATCACTAATGTGCTCATTTATGGTCTCGAATTCCAGCGGTGGACCCACAAGATCTCGAAAAGTGGAGAAAAGAACTGGAATCAGTAATTGGTGATGAGGTATGGCAGGAAATAGCTGACCTTGCCGAGGCGAAACTCGATCCTAAAATCGAACAGAAGGTTGAGATAGATGTGAGCAGCCTTGATAAAGAAAAACGCGGCCAGGTTCACCAACTGGTTAAGCAATTGTACACTGGTAAGTTGGTCTCCACGACCATTGGGCAGCAGCAACCGGCCAAGCCACCGCCGGCGGAGGACCAGACAGAGCAACAGGAGCCGTTGTTGGAGAAGAAAACCATTCGAATTCTAAAACCCAAGGGAGGCCGTGGTAAGCATTGAACTTGCACTGCAAAAACTCTAGTTAATGCTATATTTTCAAATAGGCGACAAGCGATGGAACTTTCCCGCGGAATTCGTAAGCTTTCTAGTTCACAAAACCAACTTGGTTACTAGTGATATCGCATCCACTTTAGCCTCGCGACTTTTGTAAGTTCTGGTGCGGAGTGTTCCAGCTAGGCTGCCATCATAAAAGTTTGTTTGATTTCTCCACAGCATGCGACCCTCGCAGGTGAACTACGCCGGCATCAAGGACAAACGGGCCAAGACTACTCAAAACTTCTGCATCAAACGCCGTGCGCCGGATCAAATCCTAATTGCCGCTCGAGCCCTGCGGAATGTACAGATCGGCAACTTTTCCTTCCGAAACACAACCCTGAAGCTGGGTGACCTGCAGGGCAACCGTTTCCGCATCGCCCTGCGCCACATAGACAAGGAGAAGCGTGGCGACATTGAAGTGGCCCTGGAATCGCTGCGAGAACGGGGCTTTATCAATTATTACGGCCTGCAGCGGTTCGGCAATAGTGCCAGCGTTCCCACCTACGAGGTGGGCGTGGCTCTCCTCAAATGTGATTATAAATTGGCCTGCGAACTGATTCTGAAGCCGCGTGACTCGGACATGGAGTTCTTGCGTCCTATCCGCGAGGAATGGTGGGAGAAACGCGACTCTGCGGCGGCGGCAGCGAAGATTTACGGAGAAAAGTTCATCGAAAAAAAGTTGTTGGACGGATTGGCTAGATTCGGAGAGTCGGATTACTCCTCAGCTCTACGGCAGATTCCCAGGAACATGTTGATGCTGTATCCGCATGCCTACCAGAGCCTTATCTTCAACAGGATTGCCTCTAGGAGGATTAAGGAGTTTGGCCTGAAGCTGATTCCAGGAGATTTGGTTTATGTAGACCAAGATCAAGATCAGGAGGAGCCAAACGAAATCGCAAAAGAGACGGAGGAAGACGAGGAAAAAGAAGAGGAAAATACCGATAATCTTCCAGAAATTCTTGAGGACGACGAAACCATCGTAGAAGAGTCAATATTTAAGCGTAAAGTTCGCCCCCTAACCTCCGATGATATTGCCAGCGGCAAGTTCCACCTCTCCGACGTGATTTTGCCTCTGCCGGGACATGACATTACATATCCGGCGAACGAATGCGGCGTCTGGTACGAGGAGATGCTGGCCGAAGTGGGTCTCACCTCGGATCTCCTTAAGCACAAGGAGAAAACGTACGCCTTAGGTGGCGCCTACCGCAAGATGATCATACAGCCTAGTGATCTTAAATGGAACTTCCGGTTGTACAACACACCCGAGGACACTCTGATTGCCTCCGACTGGGAGATATTAAAGTGCATTCCCATTACTCCGGAACCCGCTGAGGAGGAGGCCAAATTCATGGCCCTCCTCTTGGAGTTCTCTCTGCCCTCGGCCGCCTATGCCACCATGTTGCTGCGGGAACTCTTTAAGCAGGATACGTCGGCAGCCACGCAAATGCAACTGGAAAAGAAGGCAATGGAAGAAACCGGAAAGGAGGAAACAAAGGAGGAGCCCATGGAGCAGGAGGAAGAGAAGGCAACGCAGGAGGAGGTGCAGGCCAACTAAGTGCAGGACCGACGACCGAAGCCAAAAATCAATATTCTCGGGGAAATCAATTTTACGCGCGCTTCGTCGTATCCCAACTTCAAACCAACCACAACAATAACAATGCGCACGTGAGGACGACAAGGGCTGCTCTCGGTAGCTCTCCCTCACTCTCTCTCTAGTGTCTCTCTCGCCAGCTGGCAGGAGAGTCCTTTTGGTCCTGTCGCTTCTGGGGCGACTGCGATTTCATTCGTTCGGTGGCAAGCAACGCGAACGCTCGCAACGACGCGCTGCGCAGTTTTTCCCAGCTCACAGCTCACACAGTCCACCAAGTCGGACGGTTTTCCTCGGCGTTCTCAATGAAGAACAGTGGCCAATGATTAACTGAACTTAGTTAACCAACATTTACGGTTCCGCCAAGTCCCCGAGACTCGAATCAACCAGTGCATCCAACCCGATAGAGCCAAGCTTAAACATCCAGGAGAAGAGAGCCAAACCAAGGTGAATTTAGTTGTTAAATGTGTGCAGCGCTTTTGGGCGCGTATTTTGAATAAGCCATTTATTTAGCCGTAAGCACAATTCACGGCCGAGCAATTGCCAGTAATTAAAAGTGAGTGAGCATTAAACTTACCCTGCCAAGCCCCGAACTGTACAATATTTTTGATTTTGGCTTCGGCCAGCTTATCGATTTTTGTTGTGTGTGCTTGTGCCCGAAATCAATCGATAATACGGTGTTAATACCAAGAGAAGGAAGGGTCCGCGGGCAAATGGGGAAGGTTGGGAAGGTGGCTTGCTTGCTGGCTGGCTGGCCGTAGGAGTAGTTCATGTATAGTGGGCTTAGTTGAGGTGCGTCAGGGGAGGCGGCGGTGCTCGGTGTTCGGTGCTCGGTAGTCGGAGATCGGGGTGGCGGCAGTCGTTAAGGGTGCACGACGGTTCGCTCTACTCTGCTCCTCGCTCGTTATGTTTTTGTTCCCCCCCTTTGGGAGTCCTCAAATTAATAAACTAAATGCTTGTTTTGGCGTCGTCGCCCTCCCGTCCGCATCCCTTCCGAAGCCGATCCAGACGTGGGTATTGGACATGTTATTGCTTGCGCGCGCACTCTTTGACTCTTTTTTTGACCAGTTACCAGCAGCAGTAGCAGCAGCAGCTGCTGCGTCATATATAGTAGGAGTTTTTGGCGTGGCTAAATTCGATTTTCTGTCGCCTACCCCCCGCCAGTCCATCCATCCAGCTAAGCCAATGGATTTGCTCCTTCAGATATGTTGAAGCTTCCTATATTACAATAATATTTGAATGCGATTGATTCGTTAATTAGTGTTAATCTTTTTAATCAAATGAAATTTAGGAAAAGGCAATTAGAGAACAACTCTCCCTTGTTTTAATGATTTGAGTTATTTATTAGAGGCGACAAGGTAATATTTAAAGAAATGTTACATCAAAATTAGCTTATAAACAAAATTTAAGAAAATATTTGGTAAAGTTTAGAGCTTTTTGAGCATTTTACATTTACAACTATATTCAGATAACTTTAAACATTTTAGAGTATAGTTGCATACTTTTTTTTAGAGATTGGAAACCGTCTATAGTCTAAATTTTGTTCAAGATATTCGTAGATAGAAGTGTTTAATATTTATCTTTTACAAGATTTTCCTACAAAGTTACTTTTTAACTTGATTATTATTCGGGTTAGTAAATCAAAATTATCGAAACGTACTTCTAATATTAAATATTTTTATACTTGTGCAAATCTACTGGATTTTCTTATAAAATTTTATAATTAAAAATGCTTAATATACAAAGATGTCTAGTTAAAGCTCAAGTTTTTCAAGTTAAACCTAAAATAAATAAGATTTAAATTATGGATATTTACTAAGAACAACCCTTTTCATAATTCAATTATATCTCTTGAAGATCAGTTATTAGCAATCAGTATCGCCTCACTAAATAACTATATCATCGATTTGCTCCTCGTTAAGGGCGCGCAGATTACATTTGCAGAGATAGGCCAGAATCCTCTTTTCTGCCTTTACGCGGTTCGCATCCCCCAGTCCCTCGAGCAGTGCCTCAATCCGCTTTAGCAGTTCTGCGCTCACTGGAGTAGTGGTTGGTGGTGGTGCTCCTGTGGCATGATTAGCCGCTGGTGGAAGCGGCAGTGCCAGTGCTGCTGCTCCCGCAGTCGCCAGCTGCTCATCCATGGCCTCTTGCAGCGGATCCTCCTCGTTGTGGACCTCCTCAATGGGCGACTGGGGTTTCGGAGACCGCCAATTAGTGTCTACTACGCTGCGGTGGTTTCCGGAATGATGCGGCTGCTGCAGAAAACGCATGTGGGGCAAGAGACTCCAATCAGACCCAGTGCCTCCAGACTTCTCTTTCTCCGATTCCCGACGCAACTTGGCCACCAGATGATTCCACGTCCGAATACAGGTATTAACTAAGCGAAAGTAATAAATTTGAGGAAATAATTAAAAGCCACAATGTTTACCATCTGTTTTGAGGGAAGCAGAGATGCTGCGCCAAATCTCCGTTTTCCGCTTCTTATTCGTATCATAGGGTGTTGTCCGCAGTTCCCGCTCATAGAGATTAGGATTGGCGCGGACCAACTCAATTAGGCGCATGTTAAAATCCGACATTTCACTAATATAAGTAAAATAATTTTATGGGAAAAAAGTTCAACTGTTTAGGTTGTGAGTAAACAAGACTTTAGAGTGACCGTTGCTCTACCCATTGAATATTCCAAGCTTTCGAAAAAATACTAAACTAAATTAGAGAAAAGGCTACCTTCAAAAAGCCGAAGGTTCAAATACCCTTTCGAAAAAATAAACAAAATATTAAATAATTAGGCACGATTCTATACTTTTATAAACTACTCGTTTTTTGCTCCATGTATGTATAAATATACTCAGATCTACTTTAAAAAGCTCGTAAAACTGCAATTTGTTAGAATTATCTAAAAAACCACTAAGTATTTAAAATTTACAAGGGAACGAGAATATATGTAAGTTATTATTATAACTTCATCAGCAAATATATATTTTCAATCCTAGTCCGAATACAAAATTTTATAACTTGTATATTATTATAAATAGATTTATAATATACATTTGGAAATATGTATAAGCATACAGCATGTTCGAGCACATAAACATTGCTTGTATCTGTTACTTCACAGTCTGACGACTCTTATTGATTTATTTATTGATTTTCTCATTGACCAGGCGCTGTCCACCACAGAGATGGCCGCCGAAAACTATCACCTTAAGTGGGACTCCCACCTGTCCTATCTAAACTCTTCCATTGCCACGCTTTACAAGTAAGTATATCAAATTAATTCCATAATTTTATTTTCTTGTTATTAATGAATTAAGTGTTTGAAAGGGCGCAATTTTTGGTGGATTTAAAATGATATTTAATTTTATATTTTTGTTCAATGTTAAATGTATTATTTGTAAATTTTAAATATTTTGCTTATAATTCATAACCATATTAACAAAAACTTTATTAGCATTACGTATATTTTTAAGCGGAACACAATTAAATTTAAATTTACACTTGGATTTATATATTTTTCCGTTAATTTCCGTTTCCTAGTCATGATTTTCATAAAATGTAAGGTGAAATATAAAAAACTAGTGCAAATGCTTAAAATAAATTTATAAATTTACATAAAAACAACAATTTAATTCGCTAATGGTGAAATTTCTCTCCAGAAATGAAAAGTTCGCCGATGTGGTCCTCTACAGCTCATACAACAGCAGCGGCATCCCCTCGGACATACCCACGGTGGGCATATCGGCGCACAAGTTCATCCTGAGTGCTTCGTCGCAGTTTTTCGCCACCATGTTCGAAACAGCGCCGATTACCGCTCCTAATGGTGTCCTGTACGTGGTCCTACCGCCCGATCTCAGCCATCGGGCCATTCAGATCCTGGTGCAGTACATGTACAGCGGCGAGGCCACAGTCTCCAACGACATACTCAACGAGGTTCTGCGTGGTGGCGAGATTCTAAAGATCCGTGGCCTGTGCCGCACCAGCGCTTCCAACGGCGGCGGCACCGTCGTGTCCACCTCGCACCACACGCTGGGCGGACACATGCATCCGCGGGAGGGAAACGCCATGTACATGTCGAATGGCTCACGTTCTGCTGCCCTGCCGCCTCCTCCACCGCCGCCGCCCATTTCAGATCATTATTCCAACAAGCCAGGAGGATCCCAACGCTTTGCTCTCGAACACCACCACCTGTCGTCACATCACAACCACCTGAGCCACCACCATCAGCAGCAGCAGCAGCAATTTCGCGGATTGGGCGCCTCCGTGATGCCCAAGGACAGTCCCGTGATCATCAAGTCACCCAAGATGGCCTCCCACACGGGTCTACTCACAGTGGCCAGCAGCAGCAAGCTGGGCATCTCGGTAAACAAAGAGGTGGCCATCGATCCAGAGGACAAGTGCTGCTTTGCGGCCTCTGGACAAGTAGAGCCGCAATCACATCCACCAGCCCCAACCTCATCGTCGACAGCCGGAGCCGTAGCCGGCGGCGGCGCTGGTGTTGGAGGAACCATAGCAACAGGAGCCTCAACCTCTCAGCCCATATCCATATGCACGGAGGTGGGTTGCAGCAGTTGTCCCATGGCCCCTGGACCGAGTGCGGAGCAATCAGAGACCAGCTTGAGGCGCACGGAGTACGAGGAGCAGGCGTTACGCGAGCGAAACGAGGTGGGGCTGGTTTTTGAGAGACGTCTTCGGAGGGAGAGTGCCTGCGAGAGATGTGAGTCTAAATAATTTATAAACTTATTAAATACTAATACTATTTTCTGATTCTCGACAGCTCGCGATTATTACGAGGCACCGCCGCCCCACTTCGAGCACGTAGTGCCCTCCCGCCTGGCTACCGCTTCACCACCACCAGCACCACCTCAACAGGCGCCGCCAAACCATCGACATGGCCACAATTTCCTCACCATTAAGCAGGAGCCGACCGACTGGAGCACCAACCCACCCACTGCGTCCAGTGCCAACAACAACAACCTCGAGGAGGGACCGCTGGTGTCGCCCAAACAACCGCTGGACTTCAAAATGAGCGCTGTCAAGATGGAGGTCAACCGGGATAGGGGCACGCCTTCAGACGATTCCGAGGAGCACACTCTGCGCGACTACAACAATTTTAAGCAGCTGCTGGTTTGCGAGATCTGCCAGAAGTCGTTCGAGGACACCAAGATGTTGGTCCGCCACTTGGGCACCCATGCCAGCGATCCAGCAGCCGGAGCGGGGTCCAATCTGCTTGGGCCCAGTGCAAGCGGTAGTGCTCCAAGTGCCTCCGGAAATTCCAGCAATCTCGCCCTGAGAGCTCTGAAAACCTATGTGCCAAAGAAGCGACGCCGCGTCTCGGTGAGTGATAAATCCCAGAGAAAATATCTATCGATACCGCTAAAGAAACACTTGCTTATTGATAATGTAAAGGGTATCAGAGTTGAATAACTCATCTATTTACATATGTATAATTACTTCCCTTTTCAGCAACAAGAGAACAACATGGATCACGATCATGTCACTCTGCTCTGCGATTTGTGCTCCACGTAAGTTGATTCCAGAGAACATTTCGCAAAAAACCTAGTTACAAATCCTCATCTCCATCTACAGTGCCTTCGAAACGCCTGCGGAGTGGGTGCGCCACATGAACAGCCAGCACACGGAGATCGAGCTGGCCATGTTCAACAGCAAGAAGGATGGCGAGCAGAAGGGGTGTGTGTCCTAAGGTCACCTAAGGCACTCTGATGAACTCTGTTCATTTGCAGCCAGCAGCAGCAGCAGCAGCAGCAGCAGCAGCTACAGCAGCCGGCCACCAGCAGCTCTTCCACAGTGTCCACCAGCCAAATGCAGCCAAAGTATCCCAGCTCCACCACCAACTCCACGCGATCGATGCTGAGTAGGAGCAGCAATATCGATGTGGCAGCTTCAGCTGCGACCTCCACCTCTCCGGGACCTTCGGAGGCAGCCGCCACTTCATCATCGACCGCCTAAGGATGCTCACCAGCACCGTCAACACTCGCCACACGAGGATCCCTGGGGCTTTGTGAGCCACATTAACACACCATTTTGTTCGATAAATTCAAGTCGTTCCAGTTGTAATCAAAAAACAAAAAGAAGGAAGATGTTTATAAGGCAACAGCAAGAACCGTGATCAAAATGCAACCAGTTTGCATATTTTATAGAGAGCAACAAGCAAAATACAAAAATCGGAAAAAAAATTAACGAAACTGTACGACGAAACTCTTAGAATTGGAATCGTCAGGCAACGATGCAAAACAAAAATAAAACAAATCTAAATGTAAGGGAAACCTTTTTTCGAAAACGAAAGGAAAACCAGATTTAACTCAACTCTGTAGAGTGTTTTTTTTAAGTGTATGGATGTACCTAGTTTTAGCCATATTATTCCCCAGTAAACAAACATGTAATTACTGTACCAACGCGCAATTGATACGACGGAGGATAACTTAACTATTTAATCATATGAAATCATTTTCCCCGCAAATTTCGAATTTGATCCATTTAAAATATATTTATTTCTCATTTGTTGATTAAACCCGAAACAATTCCATTTGTAGGACCAACGTGGGGGCAGAGAGATTAAGGTACTTATCGATTTTGATAACAAATCATAATTCAGGTGCATCGAAAACAATAATCATCCTGTCTTACTACCCAATATTGACATCTGCTGCTAATTTTCGAATGTAATAATTGATAACTACTGTATTTCATATGCTCCTATCGCAGGCATATGAGGTCAGCAAATTTGTTGAACTTTTTTGTATTCTTTTTATATTCACCAGAACTTTCGAGAAGTATTTGTATATAGATTAAGTTTGATTTTGATTTTGAAAGTCCGCCGATTGAAACTTTTTGCGAGAAGTTTATAAACTTAAATCTCTAGATGTGTGTGTAGTAGTTGGAAGTTCAATTAAAAAACTCTCCCCAACCATGTAAAAACAAAAACAATATACAATATACTATATACATACATATATTTACAAGCAGGCGTGATTATTAAAAAACTAAGTAGATGTAAAATGTAAAACAATGCAGGAAGAAAACTGTTTCTTTCCAAAAACAGAAAAACAAACAAACAAACAAATCGCATATGTAGCAGGAGCGTTTTAATTCGAAATAAACGACTACGATGAGAAATCGTTTTTAAAAGCGATATCAAAGACCCACGGGAACTAAGAGTCACGAGAGTTAAGAGTCATGGTCTGAAAAGCTCATGCGATTACTCGCAAGCTTTATAAATACAGAGCACGGACGAAGAGAATAGTTAGTCTGAACATCAACGTTGGGTTGACTTCAACATTAAGTGCGATTTTTCCTTACGCTTAAATTAATAAAGCCACCATGAGCTCTGGAAAGCATTTTGGCAAAGGTAAGAGAAGTTAATGTGTTGTCAGTGGTAAGAGAAAATCTGTATTTTTTTTACCAAAACAAGTTCCACCTGTTTAATTTACACATTTTGAATTGTAGAATTTAGATTTTTAGTGCAAAAAAGTGGAGAAAAAACGGTTTTAGTGGAAACAAAAAATAAATGGTAGAACAGAAATTTAATAATTTATTAACTTGTGTGAATCACTAGCCCACAGCATGATGGGAACGGCAAGAAAAATCAATTATAACCTTTACGTTTGCGATATATATTTGGATTTGGTATTGTAAAGGTAGTCTTTATCTTTATAAATTAACAAAACTTAACTTAAATAGTTTTTTATTTTCATGGATTTCCAAAATATATAGATTTTTGTAGCAAACTTTTTAAGTTTTAATTTTTAATGAAATAGCATTCTATTAATCCAAAGATATTTCTTTACTCTAATCAATATTTAACATTAAAATCTTTATATTTTAACATTTTAATAAGCTTCGAGAAATTCAATCAATTGGTTTATAATATCAATGTTTTTTTTTTTATAAAATAAGAAGACTTCACTGAATTTGCTGCCGTAAAAAGTGTATTAAATAATTTTCATTTCAAAACTATACCAATTTATGTAGCAAACTATTTTAGTTATAATTTGTAAAACAATAGCATTTTATTAAACCAAAGATAGTTGTTTGTTTCAATCAATATTTATCAATAAAGTCTTTATATTTTAACTTGTTAATGGCATCGAGATAACGCACTATCTTTAGTATTAATTGAAAAACTACAGACAGTCTAAAAGGTCTAGATAATCACAGAACTAAGCTATTTTTAACATCTAAAAGCATTGAGTAGATTATTAGTAGATTGTATGGGTTGTAATTTCCACCACTCATCCATGAGCCTTTACTATAATACAAAGATCGACGAACCATAATATTTACCAGTAAAAAATGATAACATATCAGTTAAATGTTTGCCATATCGCGCCTGACTCTATCAAAGTTAAGCGTATGACTTGCTACTTGCTTTGACGCTGTTCCTTTGGTTTTTTTTGTTTTTGTACATACTTATTAAAAATAACCTATTTATTAGTTGTACATTCAAAAAAAAATTCAAAAACATTTTAAAAAAGGCGTAATTTTTCCATGCAAAGTCAAAAAATATTATTAATTTTCAGTGTGTAAACAGTTTCTTGACATACTGTATATGGTATTTACAGAGACGGATCCTAAAGGGGTTCTCTGTTTGCTGAAAAGATAAGCTTACTCCGGGCATATAATAATGTTTTTTTTTTTTCGAGCAGCTCTTTATTCTTTGTGAAGCCATAATCGGCTTTATGGATATATTACTCATGAAAGTAAACTTTCAGGCTCTGCCAAGCCCGCTTTGCCCGATGATGGAGTCCTCCGCCTCTACTCGATGCGTTTCTGTCCCTACGCCCAGCGTGTCCATCTCGTCCTGAATGCCAAGAAGGTTGACTATCATACCGTATTCATCAATCTTACCGAGAAGCCAGAGTGGCTGGTGGAGGTGAGCCCGCTTCTGAAGGTTCCTGCTCTGCAGCTGGTGGCGGAAAAGGATCAGCCCTCACTCATCGAGTCCCTGATCATTGCCGAGTACTTGGACGAGAAGTATCCGCAGAATCCGCTCCTGCCCAAGGATGCACTGAAGCGTGCCCAAGACAAGATTTTGCTGGAGCGCTTCAGCGGCATAACCAATGCCTTCATGAAGATCCTGATGCAAAAAACGGGACTGGATGACTTCTGGACGGCCCTGGACATCTTCGAACAAGAGCTGACTAAGCGGGGCACTAGCTTCTTCGGCGGCGATAAACCCACCTTCGTGGATTACATGATCTGGCCCTGGCTAGAGCGTCTGGCTGTGATTGAGTTTGAGCTGAAGGACACATACAACTTCGACGAGAAGCGATTCCCTAAGGTGGCCCGTTTGATTACCCTTCTGAAGGAGGATGAAGCGGTCAAGGCCTTCTATGCCACTCCCGAACAGCACCAAGAATTCTGGCGCACCCGCAAGTCCGGCAATGCCAATTACGATCTGCTGGCTTAGATCAAAAGCTAATTTCTAGTCTCAAATTTTAACTCAAGTTTTAAATACAAAAAAAGAAAAAAGAACTATGTAAAAAATACTAAAAAAAGAATGAAAAAATCTGAAAAGAAAAAATGTAAAAGAACAAATTAAAACAATAAAAGAAAAATATAAACTTATCAATATTTGACTTATTTAACTTAAAAGACACAGCCGTCGATTTCGAAATAATTGAAATTGGGTACGCAAAAATTTTTTTAAATTGGGAAATAATCAATTTTTCAACGAATTTGGCCCTTAATTTATTCCATTAACTATTTTTAAGCACTTCTTCCTCTTAATATATTGGAAAAGAAGTGGTATGTCAGTATAGTTCTCCTGTAAATAAATATTTCTCATCATTACACAAGGATGATAAAGGTTTATTATAATACATATAATATAAATTATATATCCATTTATAATGGACTTAAAACTAAATTACAATTTTAGAAAAATGTTTTAAAATGAATAATATTATATTCCTATATTATAAATATGGAAAAAAGTTTAACATAGAGTCCAAAGCTACACAAGCAGCACTGTGTCCATCCGGCTGGCTATGTGTGTCAGCCGCAAAGGTTGCCCCGGCCGCCAAGTTCAGGCCGGGTAACAGATGCCGCAGCCGAAGGGCAGCCAGCAGCTCTTTATATATCACTCCGCTGGCAGCCACTATCATCACTTGCTTCTCCGGAACCGAGCACGCACATCATGAGCAACGGCAGGCATTTGGCTAAAGGTAGGTGAGAATATTCAAATCAATGGAAAGGAATACAGATAATCCCCGATCCGCAGGCTCTCCCTCGCCGGATGTGCCCGAGGATGGAATCCTGCGCCTCTACTCCATGCGCTTCTGCCCGTTTGCCCAACGCGTTCACCTGGTACTGGACGCCAAGCAGATTCCTTACCACAGCATCTACATCAATCTCACAGAGAAGCCCGAGTGGCTGCTGGACAAGAATCCGCAGGGCAAGGTGCCGGCTCTGGAAATTGTGCGCGAGCCCGGGCCACCAGTGCTCACAGAGTCACTGCTGATCTGCGAGTATCTGGACGAACAGTATCCATTGCGTCCCCTCTATCCGCGAGATCCCCTTAAAAAGGTGCAGGAGAAGCTGCTGATCGAGCGCTTCGGAGCGGTGCTGGGTGCATTTTTTAGGGCTTCCGACGGCGGCGAACTGGAACCCTTCTGGAGCGGTCTGGACACCTACGAGCGGGAGCTGAGCCGCCGGGGCACAGACTATTTTGGGGGCGAGCAGACGGGCATTCTGGACTACATGATCTGGCCATGGTGCGAGCGCCTGGAGCTGCTGAAGCTCCAGCGGGGCGAGGAGTACAACTACGATGAGCAGCGCTTCCCGCAGCTGGTGAGTTAATTCTTCTTGATGTTTAAGTCAGGTCCTTAAAGCAAATCTTCAAACAGACGCTGTGGCTGGAGCGCATGAAGCGGGATCAGGCTGTGATGGCCTTCTACATGGAGGCCGAGGTGCAGGCGGAGTTTCTGCGCACGCGCAGCGCCGGCCAGCCCAACTACAATCTTCTAGTGAAGGAGGCCTGATGAAGCAATCGGTTTATTTGGACATTTCGTGTGGAGCAAATAAAATAGATCGGATCGATCCGCCCTTAAATGCAATTGATAACCGGTCACAGAGCTTTGATTTTGGTCACCCTAGAGATGGCCCTTGAATGCTATATCATATTGGGGCTTTCCCAGGGTCTTGGACTTCTGGAACTCGGCATGCAACTGAACATCCAGAGCGGTCTTCCTTACGGTCTCGTCCTGGGCCACCAAATCGCGCCACTTAAGCTGGAAAGTTGCAGAGTCTTGGGTTAGGAAAGACTCCTCTAGATTTCTGATTCTCCACTTACCAGCTTGGCAAATCTCTTGGCATCCAACTCGTACTTCTGCTCCGTATTTATTTTCATGCTCGGAAAGCGTTCGAACCATGGCCAGATCATGTAATCCACAATGCCAATAGTCTGACCGGCGAAGTAGGGAGTTCCCCTCTTGGCCAGCTCCTGTTCAAACACATCCAGAGCGTTCTCAAACTTCTTGAGGGCATCTGCTGGGGCATTGGGATTACAGGTCAGCACTGGGTAAACGGCACTGACCACCGGCGCAAAGCGCTCGATTAATATCTTATCCAGTGCCTTCTGCAGCGGATCGGTGGGGAACAGTCTGGGGCTTGGATACTCCTCATCCAAATACTCGGCAATGACGAGTGACTCCACGAGAGTCGGCTGATCCTCGAGGTGAGTGAGCTGCAGGGCAGGCACCTTGCCCAGTGGGCTGTAGTCCTTGTACCACTCCGGCTTCTCAATTAAGTCGATGTAGATCTTGTGGTGTGGGATCTTTTTGAGGGTCAGCAAGAGGTGAACGCGGTGGCTGAAAGGGCAGAAGCCCATGGAGAAATACCGCAGGATGCCGTCCTCGGGGAGCTCCGGTTTGGTGGAACCTGAAATGACAAGACAATATGTTTAATCAGATAAGATTCAAAGGATATTGGTGGCAACCCAAACCCATATGGAGGTGCAAATGAGAGGTATTTAAATATATATATGTTTGTTTAATATTTCTCGCTAAGCGGTTTACAATCCAAATTTAAGTAACTTAATTCCTGCTGTTCAACAGCTAACTAATCCTGGCCAAATCATCAAGTCACGCTCCTTACAATGGCTCGAAGGCAACGTCGTAGTTGGGCTTAGCCTCGTGGCGCGTGCGCATGAACTTGGCATGTATGCGGGCATCCAGAGCCGTGGCTTTGACGGCCTCATCCTCGGCCACCAGGTTGCGCCAATTGAGCAGATTGGCGTAGCGCTTCGCATCTAGCTCATACTTGGGCTCCAGCGTGTACTGGAGGGCGGGGAATCGCTCGAACCACGGCCAGATCATGTAGTCCACAATACCGATCTTGTCGCCTCCAAAATAGGGAGTGCCTCGCTTGGTGATCTCTTGCTCAAAGACATCCAGTGCCGTCTCGAAGTTCTTGATGGCATCGCCGGGCGGATCCTTGGTAAAGAACACCGGGTAGATGGCACTGATGGCCGGAGCCAGGCGCTCGATCAGGATCCTGTCCAGAGCCTTCTGCAGAAAATCCTTGGAAATGAGCGACTGCTCACCGGGATACTGTTCGTCCAGGTACTCTGCAATCACCAGTGACTCCACCAGGGTCGGCTCGCCTGGCAAATGCGGCAGCTGGATGGCCGGCACCTTGCCCAGAGGACTGTAATCGCTGTACCACTCTGGCTTCTCACTGAGATCGATGTAAACCGTGTGATGTGGTATCTTCTTGGCGGCCAGCACCAGACCGACGCGCTCCGAGTACGGACAGAAACGCATCGAGTAGTAGCGCAGGACGCCGTCCTCGGGCAGTTCCGGTTTGGGCGAACCTGTTGGAATGGGCATGGAGGTGAGTGGTCATGAGTGGGCTTTGACGTCAGCGTTAGTGGAAAGTTTTCCCCTGTTCTGCCAAAATTAAATGTCTATCTGCGAGGCGAGTGGCGGCATTACCGCTTACCGTGATGCTTGCAGATAAAACTATAAAATCAATGGCCAACTATTTGCCCCGTCACCATCCCGGTGACCTTCAGGTGCTCCCGTTGCTGCTCACCTCGCTTAAAGTGTTGTAGCGGCAGGGCCATTCTGTCGACAATTTTAAGATGTTGGTAGAAGCTTTGAATTGCTATACAAAATTGTTTGCAAATGAATATTGTCGCTGATATTTAAAGCTTTTCGACTGTGTCGCTGTGTTGTCAGCTTAGCTTTTTTATGGCTAGATCTAGCATTTTTGAAAATGAAAAAGCTTGTGAAACAAGTTGCTTTTATCCTTAAAAATTATCTTAAAAGAAATATATATCATTAAATGTTTTTTTTTGTATTTTACAAATATAAAATAAAAATACAATCTGTATTAACGGGCTTTATTTTTTATTAATTTCCATGTCTATGACTATTTCAAATATCTATTTTTTTTTTTAATTCGTCAGCACTATCCTATTGTTATCGATAACCCAATCTGCTCGGATTTCGATAAAATTCAAATATGCGATCGTTAACATTTAATTTTATTTATAATGTATATTTTTTGTTTAACATGTTAGTTTTATTTGAAAATACTTGGTAAAGAAAAAGTTAACAGTATCTATTGCTTATGTTTAAAAATATTAGTTTTTGAAACAATATAAGGAATATTTTCAAAAACGCAAGTAATTTTTTTTCGCTATCACAAGAAGTTTTCCATATGTACGACTTAGGGATGGATGCTAGATGGCCTTTTACCATAATTACTCCAACCTTGCACGTTTGGCAGCATGGCTGAAATAGAAATAATGAAACTGGTTTTGCATTAATCACATATGGGACACTTACTAGAGCATATTGTAGTCGGCATTGCCAGCACGACGAGATGCCATATACTTGGCGTGGGTTTTTCCATCCAAATAGAAGCACTTCACTGCCCGATCCTGGAGCATTAAGTCGCGCCACTTAAGCTGCAATAAAAGCCTACATAAGTCAGGAGCAGGATACCCGACTGCTTCAACGTACCAGAGTTCCGAAACGTGCCGGACTTAAATCGAAATGGTCGCCAAGGCTGAACTTCAAGGCAGAAAAGCGCTCGCACCATGGCCATATCATGTAGTCCAGCATACCCGGGGAGGCGCCGCCAAAGAATTCGGTGCCGCGCTGTTTCAGCTCCTCCTCGTAGGCTTCGAGGCCGGCGTACAGATCGGTGTCGCCCAGAGAGGCGGGATTGTCGTGGAGTACCAGTTTGTAGAAGGCGTTGATAAACTGGCTGAAGCGCTCGACGAGAATCTTTTCCTGGGCCCTCTTCAGCGGATCCTTGGGGTACAGTGGTGCCACATCCGGATACTTATCGTCCAGATAGTCGCAAATAATCAGCGACTCGATAAGCACGGTATTCCCCGGCTCGCCGACCAGCTCCAGTGCTGGCACCTTCGAGGAGCTGCTCACCTGCGGAAACCACTCGGGCTTCTCGCGCAAATTTATGTAAATAGGGTGATACGGTATCTTCTTGGCGTCCAGCACCAAGTGCACGCGGTGTGCGTAGGGGCAAAAGCGCATCGAGTACAGTTTCAAGACGCCATCGTCCGGGAATACGGGTTTGGTGGAGCCTGCAGAAAACTGATGTTTTAAACTCAATATTGGGATTGACTTAAACTGTATTTACCCGTAGTCAAATGCTCGGTATCGCTCATTTTCTCAGAATTAATAAAAACAAAGTAAGGTCAGACACCTGTTTTGTTGTTGTTTTTCTGACGATTGCTTATCGAATTGAAGTGTGACAACAAAGTGATGGCGTTTGTGTGACCGCATAACGAGTAAATAAATTAGATAAAAAATACAATAAGCTCGACGGTAGTGACTTAATATTTATAACATTTCAAGGTCCAAACTTTACTTTAATTTTGTTTAAGTTATAGGACAAATTCTCTTATATGCACTATTTTCATTGGGCTACATATTTGAAAAATGCATCTGAGTAGCCGATTGGCGGTTCGAAGATATCGATATATACCGAATTAAGAATCCCTCCAATAATACCAAAAATGCGTTTTAAATCCCGCGAACGTCCACTCTAACCATACCGCCTATCGATAGTCACCGCCTGCGATTGTTATAAAAAAAATTTTTTGTTAAGTTGCGGATTTTTTGTGTTGGCGGTGCGTGCGAAAGTGAGATGGCAGCGGCGGCATATGTTTAACCCCCCTCGTGTCCGGAGAATGTTTACACTTAGCCCGCCCCTTGCGTAATTGTGCCGTGTTGGTGTTGGTGGCGTCCGACGTCTGCAGTCCGTGCGAATTTTGCCGCTCCGTTCCGGATTTCTGTGTTAATCTGTTAATCTGAAACGTAATTGACATTCGGCATAATCGCGACCGCGCCTCTAATTCACGCCCACCGCATTGGCTCCATCGTTCTGCCCATACAGTTGTGCAGTCCGCCGGAGCAGCAGCATCATCCAAACCATCCCCGCGCTGCAGCAAACCAACTCTGTGAATTGATAAATACAGCCGTGTGCGTGTGTGTGATGTGCTAAACAGTCCGGTAAATCCACGGGTGAGTTAGAAGTCGCTATTTTAATTACTGACGTTCGTGATGGTTAAGTTAAGGATTTGGTATTAGAAATGCATGCGACGGGCCCCCCACCTGCCCCCTGCCCCCGTATCCCGCCCACTCGTGTTATATTTATAGCGGTAAATTTCCATGTGCGAGTGATTTTGACACCCGCTCACACACACACACACTCAGGCAGGGCAACATGCACACGTAACTACACAAGCATTCAGCACGTTTTTATGCTATTTTAGAGCATACAATACTCATACTTAATCAACACACTTCTGATACATAATTTAGCATAATTTCGATGTTAATTCTACTCGCTATCATTGGGAGCCTAATTACGCAAAATCAGAGGATTTTTGTAGCACATAGCGAGGGGAATGCTTATCGGCCCAGTGGCGTAGTCATCCAATCTATTTTCGGTACGGGGGTCAATTCTTTTTTGGGGCAACTTGGTTTTCAGACAAATACAGCGGGCAAATTGAGATCAAGGCTGTTCTTAGGCAAAATAAAATACTCTTTAAGAACTTAAGTTCTCTTAAAAAATTTATTTAAAATATTTCAGTAAATAAATCGTTATGTGATTTTTCCTTTTATAAATTCCCTAAAACTCCCAAAGGGGTTTCATAAGGAAATCCTGCCCCCGTCATTGTAGCCGCCACTGTTATCGCCACTGACCCATATATCAACATGTGTTTCTTTCGCACTTTTGGCTGCTCTTCACGTTGTTATTTTCAGACGTGTGGGTGGCGGTGGGCGGTGAATCATAGATAATGGTGCTGGCCAGCAGCAGTATCCTTATCGGGCGGCAAATTCTCCATTGACCACACACCGCCAAATCAATTATTCATGAGGCAGTGCAATTTGCAATGCGCTATGTCCACTTGCCCTGTGCAATATGCAATTACAAGCGGATTGCAACCTGGCGCCGTCACCGGAGATGATGATATACGGAAAACAAACAATTCTTTAGTTTACTACGATACGACGACTATCGTTCCAATGCCCCCGAATGAATTATTTATCGCCTATGGCCAGCCCTTCAACATCAGTTATGTGTCAGTCGCGTTGTCCGCGCTGTCGCATATTAAAATCCCGAGTCGAGCCACGTAATTCAGCAGTCGGTGAGCGTGGCAAGGTCAGAGCCTCGTCCCGGAGTCGATCAGATCCGTAACGCTTCGACGTGAGCGACCTCTGCGAAGTTGGGGGGTTCAAGCGCGGAAGCACTGAGCATTTAACCCTCCAGAACTGGGTTTCCATGTGGTGTACACATGGCCAAAGGTCTCTGTCTTTTCGTATCTCTCTCTTTCGAAAAACAAAAGTCTACTGAAATTTCACATAAAGCTTTGGCCCAGCGATTACCTGGCTCACCGAAAATGAACAAAGATAATGCAGAAATATGTGCGTGCTAGCGTTCCTTTTACGGATACATATATGTACATATGTATGTATATATACATTTTAACGTTGTAGGTACATATCTTTCGCAGGTTGTTTGACTGGAGTTCTCGACATGAAATTCACAGGTAAAAGATAAATTGCTTGCCAGGTAGAGGGCCTATCTTGAGTGTAGATGTCTGTGTGAAATTTCAAGCTGACGCAGTAAAGATTGCGTCAGCTCAAGGTACATAAGGGTATATAAACCGTACGGGGAGCTTAGCGAGTTAGTTTTCAGGTCGTTAAATGGAGATAATTTGTGATATTTAATAGTGTCGAGTCAGAACCCTATAGGCTCCAAGGTTCCAAACGTGGAGATATCATGTTTAATTTGATTAAATGACTCATCATTATGAGCCCCATTTATCATTTGTACTTTGAGCGATCGCCTGCTAAATGTTAGTCGTGATGGGAGCATGCCAAAAGCTAAAATTGGATAGAATACATAAAACGAGATATCACGTGAAATTTATTTCAATTTATTGACTCATTAAGCTCATTTATCACTTGTCTTCCATTTCGTGTAGAAGATATCATACGAAATTTGATTGTGCTGACTACTCTTTAGGCCAAATGGGTTTACTGAAAATTGAGTTCACTACACGCCACGCGCATTTTGTTTTCGCAGAATAGACATTATGTGGACTGAACTGGAGATTTCATGTGAAATACAATTATGGTGACTCAGCATTGAGTTGTAGTCTAGAAACTTATGTTTGAATTTCACAATTTTGCACAATAAGGGCTGGGCTGCGCATGAAATTGAATACTGGAGATATCATGAGAAATTTTACACTGCAAGCCAAGCGAATTAGTGAAATGGGTTCCAGGAAATTTGAGTTTACTCAATTTCAGTTTCTGCGAACACGCCATATTAAGATTGATTTTGCAAACTAATCATCATGTAGAATAAATTGGAGATTTTATCTGAAATTGTATTTATAATTATATTATATTATATTGTAAAAGTGCTCTGAAAAACCAGAAATAATTTACTTAATATTAGTAACGGCAAAGATGCCTCAAGAAACTAGATTAGGATATTCCATGTGAAATATAATAATGGTGAGTAACCTGGAATTTGAAAAGACAAGCAGCACTTGTAATTTAATCCTGTTGATATTATGCGTTGCATTATTTAGCTGACCAAGAATCGAGACAGAAGCTTTCATAGTTTACAGAATGGTTTAAATTTCAGTCTCGAAGAATAGGATCTCATGCAAAACACATTTCCTTTCCCTCAGCCCAAAAGCCTAAGGAAATAAACAGAAATCTAACTTATTATTTATACTGGATTGTTTAGGGGGATACTGTGAGAACTATAACTCACAGAAATCCATTTTCCTTTTTGTTGAGTCAGAAAAAGGTATTTGACAAAACACAAAAAAAGAGTGTTTAATAAATAATGGTCTATAATTTTCAGTATGTTAAAAAATTGATTTAGATATATATTTTTTGTATACATATTCATCATATTTTATTTGTGTCTATACATCTATACGTGTGGGTATTTTTAACAGCAGCTGCTTCTCTAAAGCTTTTAATCAATTACATATATACATATGTACATATAGCAAACATTATATGTAATACGAACAAACAAAGCATGGGGTATTTCCTTGTAACTGATAACAATATGTTGTAAATGTTTAATAACTTATGAGGAAAAGTATTTGTATTTATTTGTAAATTATAAAAATCTAAGAACAGGCTTTTTTAGGAATCTCAAACCACTAGAGAAAATAGTAATTATGCCACTATAATTTAAGAATCTTCATTTAAAATTTATAAAATACTAATACAAGTGTGGAATATATGTTCACAATAATTTAGATTTAAACTTTAGTTAATTTTAGCTAGTTAGCTCCCTTAGATGCTTTATGTAAAACTGAAACTTAAAGAACATATTCTAAGTGATTGCATCGCCTGGTTCTGGTGCAGTTTGGTTAGCCATGGTCTTCGATCAGCCACGCCCTCGATGTGGGCACGGTATAATGTGTCTACATAGCTATACACGATGTTTGTAACATACAAACATATATACAGAAGCATGTAGATATGTATCTGCCGTCAATCAACCAACTATTGAAACTGGCTTATAAATCGAACCGCAAGAGACGCGCGCCGCTCAGTTGCGAATCGTTTGCAAAGCTCGACAGTGGTTCGGTTCGCGGATCGGTTCGGTATAGCATCATATTTCACGTGAAAAGGGTTCCTCGACCAGGGTACGACCTCAATCAGTGTTATTTTAATGTTTTACGAAATATTTATTATCAATGAAAGTGAATTTAATTGATGCCTGCCTGTTGAGTTTAGTGACAAGTTTAGCATTGGGGGCGACATAAAACCGAACTCGTTAAACATTTTTCTCCCAGTGATTTCATTAAAATCACGCGAACAGAATTTAAATGAGGCTTGATTACAAACAACAAAGTAAAAAAAAAACAGATAACAAAAACTAAAATACGAATGAAAGCAGTCAGTCAATGGCGGCAGCACTTGACCAATTGACTCAGTTTGTGGGATTGATTGGGAATATTTGCCGATGAATTGTGCCTGATCTGATTTAGGGAATATAAATTTGGAAAATGTCCAATCAAAATTGCAGGCGAATAATAATCAGAACTTCGTTGCTTCGCCGATTCGCTGATTGATTTTTATTGCCGCGCAGCGATGGCAGTTAATTTCCTCAACAAGTGCAAAGCCAACCTCAACCTTTGACACTCAACCCCTTTTTTTACCTTGAGGAGCGATGGCGACGCGTGTCCTTGTCAATGCCACAGCACAGGTGCAATGACAGCCGCCCACTTCCTGCGACCTTGACGCTACGCTCCTTCCTTCTCCGTCCTTCCCGCCTTATGCGAACCAACAGTGACGTTTCTATTATTATGGTACTTGGCTTTCGCTTTTATTAAGTCGATAACCGAACACCTAACCAACCCAACCGCCCACGACTAGTACTACTACTACTTGCCTGTGTCGTAAATTTTCGCCAAAGTTTTATCAATAAATTGGATTTCAATGCAGGACCGTTGAACTAACTGCCCAAGTTTGTGGCATTAATGCGCAATTGCAAAATTGTCTGAGTCCCAAGCGCGCCCAATCTGGCAACAACAAGTAGTTAGAGCCACCACTATCCTCTCATCGGATAACAATAACAAAGTAATTTTCAGTTTGTGGTGGGAAATTGCCACTATTTCCTCGATGAAATCTTTTGGCGCGTGCCATTCGCCGTCACCGCCTCGAAGAAGCCGCATGGAATCGCTGGTGACCTTAGCTCCTGGCCGGGAGCCGAAACTAGTTAGTCAAAGTTAGTTGATTAGAGTTATATAACTATCATCCATATATAATATAAAAAAGAAATATTTACATTTGTATTCCAAGATAGATGGAATAGAGAAAAGAAATGAAACCTTAGCTATATGTGATTGTAAACGTTGTGTGATTTGAAAAGTAAATTGATTTGATAAGACAAAGGAATGTTAACGCCAGGTGGTTTTATGAGATCTAACAAATTGATAAAAGTCTAAAGTGAGTTTAACTGCTGTAGTGATTGTGCAAATAATGTTGTTTTAAATATAAAATATTCAAAAACAGCTTGGCTGTTTATAAGGCTAATTAATTTAATTGAACTCTGTCTTAAACTTGCCTTGAGTGCTCTTTGGATTTAATTTAAAGACATATGATCTATATCCCTCTTGCCAAAAACAGAACATGTCTTTGTTTACCATTCGCAAGCAAATGCAGCGAAACTCCCCATTTATGGCGATCTTGGGCCACCTGAATCCACTCTGCTGTGCTGTGGTTGTGGTCTGCGGTCGCTGGGGTCTATATTTGGAGGTGTCGATCCGATCCACCAACGAACGATCTTGAACTTCCGCTTTGGTTCGCTGACTATTTTGGTTATGCAATGGGTTTGGGTATGGGTAACTGGCTTTTGTAAGTGCCTCACAGCGGAACGCGGGCCCAATGAGTGTGGGATGTGGGATGTTGACGAGGTTCTGACAGTGGAGCTCTCCATAAACGATCATTTGTAATCAGATCAGACCGGTGTGTGTTGGTGTTCTCACTGTATTTGTACTTGTTTTTTATTATTTAATAATCCCTGCTGACTTTGTTCCATTTCAGATCGATATAAACGCGCAAATTGAAGACTAACTGAACGGTGGATATATAATGATCGCTGGACAGTAAAAGCCGGAAAGTACAAGAGAATAAGAAGAGTTCTTAACTTAGTCGAAGAAGTGCAAGTGGAAGTGAAAGCACACTTGTTGGAAGATGGCGCGTCACATTATGGCCGTTTGTGTGGTCTGCCTGCTCTGCGCACACCGCCTGCACTGCCAGGATCATGTCGAGAGCCTCCTGGGCCCGGCCATGGTTATGGTGCACAGTGAAGAGCTGCCGCTTAATGCCCGCGTCTACATGAACCCGAGTCCCTCCAGTGATACCACCGATCGGCGACAGCAGCGCTCCGTTGCTGGCGACGACGACACCCCCAACTACAGCACCAGCCCGCCCTCGAGGAGACAAAAGCGCCACGCTGGCCATGGTGATTCCGACTCCCGCCTCCCGCAGATTACCCAGTACTATCTCGAGAAGCTGATGGTCCAAAACAAGCAAATGGATAGCAGCAGCTTCGAGGGTCTCCTCCAGCAACTCAGTCTCCCATCGCTGGTCAGTGGAGAGGGAACGGAAGGAACTGTAAGTTTGTCTCCCTTCTGGGATTTAATTTCGATTAGTTATTGTTAATTTTAACCGGTGTTTTTCCTCCTTCCGCAGTGCGTACGAGTCAGTCGCCTTGTGCATCATGTCCAGCCACACGATCATCTCCATGTCCATGACGAGGACGAGGAGGGTCACGATCACGAGCAAAAGCAGCTAACCAACTGTACGCTAAACAACAATGGCAGCAACTCCAATGTTGTATGCACATCCCTGCTCAACAACCACACCCACCCGCTTGGGGAGAAGGCTCAGAACTTTACGCTCAGTGAAAGGGACATACTTAATTTGTGTCCTGTTCTGCTACATGAGCTGAAATCACAGAGCGGAGGCTGTATAGAGCCAGCGGTTCTGTTCGACATTGACACCACGGAAAAGCAGCTGGAGACGGAGAAGGACAAGGACATCTTCTACGGTGGGTTCGAACCCTTTATATTTACTGAATTATGACTATATTTTGACTTTGTTTGCAGTGTGGGTCTATGCCTTCATTTCGGTGTTTGCCTGCGGCATACTCGGCTTAGTGGGAGTGGCCATCATACCGTTTATGGGCTCCCGGTACTACAAGTACATCATCCAGTATCTGGTGTCGCTGGCCGTGGGTACGATGACCGGAGATGCCCTGCTGCACTTGCTGCCCCATGTGAGTAGAGATAACTTGCACCGTTCCATCGACAATCGTGACTAATGTTAAATTCGTTCTTTTATTGATAGTCACTGGCAGGCCAGGATGAACGGGGTATGATCATGAAGGGGCTGGGTTGCCTGGGCGGCATCATCTTCTTCTACGTCACAGAGCACGCGCTCACCATGATCTCGGAGTGGCGCAAGAGCGTGGAGAAGAAGGAGACAAAGAAACCGTCGCGAGCAAAGGTGATGCGGGATCCCGACTCCTCGGTGAACAACTCAGTGGCCGGGGACAAGATCTGTAAGCAGAAGTACAGCTCGTATCCGTACTGCTACGACGAGATCACCATGAACAACAAGCAGAGCGAGTGGATGCATTTGCCCGGCGATGGCGTCAGCTCGACTGCAGGTGCCGGCGGAGATGCTGCATCCGCTTCGGAGCTTCGCAACGGTGTGGGAGATCACGATGGCTCCGGCGACATGGCTGCCGCTGCAGAGTCCCTGCTCTCCACGCTTCACTCGAATTGCGTGGAGATGAACCATCACAATCACAATCACAAACACAACAGCCACCAACAGCACGAAGGGCAGGACAACAACACTATTGTTACCGATCTGGATGGAAATGCAGTGTACGCCACGAACAGCGCCAAGGAGACGGACGGGCGAAACGATCATGTGACTGTGATACTGCGGGAGCACGAGTCTTCGCATCATGGCCATAGCCATCGTCACGGACATGTCCACTCGCCGCCAGAAACGCTGAGCGCCGTAGCCTGGATGATAATTATGGGCGACGGGCTGCACAACTTCACTGACGGGATGGCCATCGGTGCTGCCTTTGCAGAGAATATAGCCGGCGGCTTTTCCACGTCGCTGGCCGTATTCTGCCATGAGTTGCCTCACGAGCTTGGCGACTTCGCCATCCTGATGAAGGCAGGCATGTCGGTGAAGTCGGCCGTCTACTACAACCTGTTGACGGGCGTTCTGAGTTTCATCGGCATGATCTTCGGCATTGCCTTTGGCCAGTCGCAGGACGTGGCCCAATGGATGTTTGCCGTGGCAGCGGGTTTGTTTATTTATATTGCCCTGGTCGATATGGTGAGTATCAAATACCTTAATTAGTAACCTATTTAAACTTATTTCTGGTTTACTTTACAGATGCCCGAGATCTCTGCCTCCCACAAGTCGCTGGGCCAGTTTTTGCTGCAGATTTTGGGCATGCTGAGCGGAGTGGGGATAATGCTACTGATTGCCCTCTACGAAGGCGATTTGATGAGCGTGTTTGGCACGACGGGATCGGCCGGAGCCGGCTCTTACCAGCACGCGCATTGATCCCACACACAACTGAAATTCTAACCAACTGCAACGAATCTTGTAGAGTGTATTATGTGAATTGCAGCGAATCTTGCGTATTAACTGCATTTCTTTCCGCCAGGCCGTCACAGGACCTCTTCAATTATTATTATGTTTTGTATAATTTGATTAGATTGTTGTTTACCTTAGTCCACAGAGTTAAAAGCCACACAGACACACAGCCCTGGCGCCTATTTGCAAACGCATTTGTTATCCAGTTTATGAAACACACAACTATAAAACTCGTTTTCGTTCCTAATTTTTTGCAACACTGAATTGCGTTCGAATCGATTTACACCCGCGATTAAATGTAAGATGTCTTGAAATTGCCTAGGATATAAAATGATCTTGAAATTGGAAGAAACCAATTAAAATGGATGCCGAAAAACCAACACAATAACAGAGAACGGAGTATGGTCGGATATGGAAGCTCTGTCCCGGTATCCACTAATTACTGATCTTATATACACACTGAAAGCAGAACCTAATAATTACGATATATACATATATTGTAGAATATGTATACAAATATAGTTTTTGTATTTTGTAGTTTAGGGTGCGCGCACGTTTACTTTATGCGAGTTTAAACATTCGAAGGAAGCCAAGAATTAAGACAGATGTCATGTCCCACTGTTATGATTTCTGACAGTACTTAACGACTTCAAGAAACTATCCATAAAAAACCATTTAAGCTTAATTTATTATCGTATTTGTAATGAATTGAAAATATTGAACTGCACGCACGCTCATGCATCATTTAATTATTCGCTACGCCTTGTAGCACCTTCATTTAATTATGATTTTGTAATAAAAACAAGCTAAAACCCATTCAGTTGATTCGTTCTTTTATTTTGAGTTTGTTTCCTTCTTAATTTGCGCACACAAAACTAACACACGAAAGTGATTGTGATTTAAAAAAAAGGAGTAAAGTAACTAAAAACACATTTGTAAAATGGTGCGACTTGAGGAAGAAGGAACGAACACAAGACACTGGCACTCGGATCTGCACTCGAAGCTATCACTTAAACTGAGCAACTAACAATATTTTATAAAGCCCACACTATATGTATATGCTACAGAGGCAGTAAAACCTATTATAATTGTAGCTGTAAGCTCTACGAAAACTACAAACAGGAAATGAAGAAAAATTGAAAACGAAAAAACACAAAAATATTTAGAAGTAAACTTATACACACTGTGCTAAAGGAACTTTGGAGAAACGGATGGAATACTACTACTTTGGTGATATCACGCAAAAGGCAATTGAAACAACTAACGAAATAATTTTACAATAAATATATTGATAAACATGTATGGATATGATATGTATGATCGTATGTAAGTCGTGTAAGTGTGCACCAGCACACGCAAATGACGCGTATTTTGCTACAGTTTTGTTTATTTTGTAACGGAAAGTAAACACTTTTTAAATTTTCAAAAATAAATGTTTTTCCACCTCAACGTCATAAAAATACGTGTTTGAACTAGGTGCAAAGGGATTGTAATAATTACGTGGTATTTTCTGGATTATATTGCACTAAAAACAATTCAAAGTGCAAGAAACTGTTCGTTTAAAAGAGTTTAGAAAGGATATAACTATTATTATATTTATTAAAATATTTAATTATGAAAAATTCGAAACTACCACGCAGTGGTAACGTTGTATTATGTACATTAAAATGGTATTTTTAAAAGTAATAAATTCTAGTATACATTTCTATGGCCGGATGGTATATTCCATCGGAGAGAACGCGGTCACACTGCCGTGCAGTTGTCAAATTAAAATTTTGAGATGCTGCCAACATTTTGCAAATTCCTGGCCATTTTCTGCATCCTGGCGTGGCAGACCCATGCTACTGGCAACCTGAGTCCCGGGGCGGTCGGCGTCCACCGTCGCTTCGAGTATAAGTATTCGTTCAAGCCTCCATATCTGGCCCAAAAGGACGGGACCGTGCCGTTTTGGGAGTACGGTGGAAGTAAGTAGACGCGGCGCAGCAGCTCCACGTCAGTTGTTTTGGCCCACTCGCTGCCGCTAGCCGGCCGCGAGTGCGAGCGAGATGGCGCGCGTCGGCGGCGACCCAGCAGCAAAGTGTACACGCAGGCACTTTGTTTGGGTTTTAATTTTAGCCACTATTCGTGGTGTTGCCACAACTTGTTGCTCCCCAGGCTCATAGTTTCTGTTCCCGTTCCTTTGCAGATGCCATCGCCAGCTCGGAGAGTGTGCGCGTGGCGCCGTCGCTGCGTTCGCAGAAGGGTGCCATCTGGACAAAATCGCAGACCAACTTCGACTGGTGGGATGTGGAGATTGTCTTCCGGGTGACGGGCCGCGGCAGGATCGGAGCCGATGGCTTGGCCTTCTGGTACACCACCGAGAAGGGCGACTACAATGGGCCAGTGTTCGGTTCTTCGGACCGCTGGAACGGCTTGGCCATTATCTTCGATTCGTTCGACAATGATAACAAGCACAACAATCCGTACATCAGCGCCGTGCTGAACGACGGCACCAAGATGTACGACCATGCCAACGACGGCACCACCCAGCTGCTGAGCGGCTGCCTGCGTGACTTCCGTAACAAGCCCTTCCCCACGCGAGCGCGCGTCGAATATTACAACAACGTGCTCACCGTGCTCATCCACAACGGGATGACCAACAACAACGACGACTACGAGCTGTGCCTGCGCGCCGACGGTGTTAATCTGCCCAAGAACGGCTACTTCGGCATCTCGGCTGCCACCGGGGGTTTGGCCGACGATCACGATGTTTTCCACTTCCTGACCACGTCGCTGCACGCCGCCGGCCAGCTGCAGGAGCCCCCGAAGGTGGACAACCAGGAGAAGCTGACGCAGGAGTACAAGGAGTACCAGGATAAGCTGGAGAAGCAAAAGCAGGAGTACAAGAAGGAGCATCCGGACGAGGTGAGCGTTGCTGTTGTTGTTGGCTGCCACGACGACACTAACACTGATAAAGCACACGCAAGCTAGAGAGCTTATCGGCGCTAACGAGATTATCGTCACTAATCGAATTCACTTACAGCACAAAGACGAGGAGGATTGGGAAGAGTTCTACGAGTCGGAGAACCAGCGAGAGCTTCGACAGATCTGGCAGGGTCAGAGCCAGATCGCCGATCATCTGCGCGAGCTGTCGCGCAAAGTGGACGAAATTATTGGCCGCCAGGAGACCACCTTATCGCTTGTCTCACGCAACGCTGGACAGGCTGTGCCGCAACCGCCGGCTGCTGGCGGAGTGCAGCAACAATTGCCAGTGGGAGCTGTCAGCAGGTCCGATGTGGATCTTCTGCTGACAAACCAGAATGTGCTGCTCTCTTCGATCCGCGAGATTCGCCAGCTGGTGGGCGATATCAATGTGCGCACTGATAACATTCAAACGAATCAGAAGCACGCGCCCACAGCCCAAATCCAGTCCACCGGCTATGATGTGCAAACGCTCATAGCCGAGATGCGCGACGGCATGAACCAGGTCAAGCAGGGCATCAGTCACGTGGGCCAGAGGTAAGGAATACCGATCCGATTTACAACAAAACTTTTAGTTTAATAGGAGAAGAACCATTGTAAAAGTTCTTAAAAGATACTTTTTCACAGTTTTTTTATATGTATATCAGCTATAATTTAAATATTTAAGTATTTGGATAATATCAAAACAGAAATAACTTATGATTCCTAATGGAATATAATCAAAACCAAAACCATGATTAATTTCAGTAAATGTATTTTATGTTCAGTATTCTGTCGACATTATGATTTAATTTAAATCATTTTTTTCTCATTTTGCTTAAATATGTATTTTAAAGTGTCATTAAAATAACAAGTTTAAGCTTACGACTAGGCTTTTGAATCTCCAAATACAATATCAGAATACTTAAGATAAACCTTTAGAGATTCAGTTCACTTCGATATATATAAATTTAAAATCTTGTATTTATTTAAAATATCTCTACTAATTTTCTCTGCCTTTACAGATTGGGAGCGCCACAGGGCGCAGCGCAGGTGGCCAATTGTCCCACTGGCAACTGCGTGGGCGTTACTTTGTTCCTAAGCGTAACCGTGGTGCAATTGCTGCTAGTATTTATCTACAACATCTTCAAGTGAGTAACGGCCACTGTTTCCCTTTGATTTATCTAATATTTAAAACGACTTCATTGCAGAAACCGCAGCGAAGCACAAGCGAAAAAATTCTATTAGGCAAGAGAAATAGCGCCATTCGGAGATCATAGCCAGGAACAAGCAAGCACACAAGCATACACCATCACACAACATCCACACACCTGACTCTAGGCAGCAACTAAGTTTAGATGAAATGAAGGATTAAGACTACTTCGTAGCATGTGTACACCGATGGATTTTTTATCGACGTTTTGTTTGATCAGTCAGATCCCGAATCTAAATTAAATTCGTTACTTAATTAAAAAGGAAAGCACAAGAAACAAGAAATTTGAACAATGAATAAGCCTCATGACAATGCCACGCAATACAAACAAGAAAAGATACGAAGCCACAAGACAAACTTCCCTCTAGTAATAGCCAGATGATGTTTTTTTATCGTTGTAGCTCGTCAAGTTTAAATTTCCACTCCATTCTCTCAACTCTGCATATCAGCAGGCATATTTCTATATACAAACAAAAACAAAAAAAATCATAAAAATCGTAAAACAAATTAAAAATGTGAAAATTCCGTAAATATAGTAAATTTTCTATAATAAAACTTATACCTTAGGGTTGAGTGAACTGAACAATTGGTAAAAGAAATAGAAATCTTAAAATTTTCACGCGCTATCTTGACTCCCAACAGAAAGCGATTAGCCAGCTTTTGTTGTTATTTAGCCTGAAAGTGAATTTATGTAAGAATAATGATGATGATGGAACTCTGTCTCACTAGGTTTTTGTTCGATGCAAGGAGGTTTTTATACTGAATAATCTTAATATACCTACTGATAAATTATAAAACAATTGAAGCGAAGTGTGTTTTTATATATATGTTGTCCATTCCAGTCACGATAGAACTGTTTAAACTGAAAATAAAAATCAATTTATAGAAAAAAATTCGCTCAAAAAAGTTTCTCTCACTTTAACTGTCTAACTTTATCGCTATATTCATTTTTATTTTTATCCTCCGCCCCCTTAGAGTCAAAATTATTTTCGATGAAAAAGTTTATTTCTCGAAAAGTCCTCGTAAGCATAAACTAGACTCCCTGTCAGTTGTGCTCCCCATCCTTTCACCGATGACAATGCGGCAAAAATGGCGCCACTTGGTCGGGAGGAGTTGGGTGAAAATCTGGTGAACTTTGGTCATAAAATGTAACTGCCATTGGTGGCATTGTGGGCATGTCGTCTCTGTGGTTTGGGTGCCCCTTCCACCCCGTGTGCTGAAGCTGGGCACAAAAAAAAACCAGGAAAACCCAGCCAAAGATAAATGGACAGAAGCCAACGGCAGTCGCGGCCCATGTTATAAATTCACTCTGGCAGCGGGGAATGGGTTAAGTGTGGGGTTTGGGAGACGCAGCTCTAGTGTGTGGTTGGATGGCAGCTTCGCTTATGTAATCCGGCTTCCTATGTACCCGGCACTGCGCAGGAGCAGGACTTCGTAAAGACCAGCCATTGGGAGGGGGACTTGAACGGCTATTAACTTTTTATAACAGCCAATCGGCATGCGGCTCGCAAACACACAGAAAATGGTTTCTTTTTATGAGGGCTTCGGAGCGGGCAAAAGGATGATGCACTGCTAAAAAAAGTAAAAAGGGTAAATTTGTTATTATCTCAATTTATTTTTGATACTTATTTACAAGTTAAATTAGTGTTATTAGTATTGTTGGGGTTCTTTTAAAGCTTTTCAGGTGTTAACAAATGGTATATACGGATACTTTATTTAAAAAAACCAACAGCTAGAGTTCTTAATTATAAACATTTTAAAACTGATTGATTTCCATTAAAATTCTATTAATAAATAATTGTTGATCAAATTTTAAACCTGCTTCATTATAATTTTCGAAAAGATTTTATAAATTGTAAATGCTTTTTTATAAATACTATAGTTACAAATTCAAGAATTATATTATTCTCACTAGACAAGTATTTTTTATCAATCAAATAAAATTAAAAGATCAAATCAAAAATCAATCAGAAGTTAGCTTAAAATGTTCGCATTCTTCTATGGATATTTATAGATAATTATACATGAAATATTTTCGACAAATTAAAGTTTAAAATACAAAACTACAAAACTAATCCATACATAACTAATTCAATAAAAAGCATTCAGTTTTATTCGGAAAGATTTCCCATGGTTCGTTTTTATTAGGTCAAAAATTAAAAATATTACAATTTGTAAAAAGTGTTACCCCTTATAAAATATTGTTATTTATTTTTGCCGGAGATGGCTAGATCGATATTGCTGATCAAGCAACTATTTGATTTATAGGATCGAAATGACTCCTTCTCAACGTTACCAGCTTCTGACTTAAATTAAAATACGTTATAAAGATCAAAACTTATAGTCTATGTAGACGGAAGCAAGGAAAGAAAAAAGGCTTTACCGACTCTGCTATTTATTTTAATCAAGACAAATAGAATATACTTTATAAAGCCGGATTTCTTTTTTTTACTGCGTTCCAAATTTCAAACTAAATTAAGAATAAGCTGAAAGGAAATTGAGATATTACCACAGAAAATTGAAAAATATTTATCTACATAAATGGAAGGAAAATAAAATATAACAGGAAAATAAAATATAACATTGGTTCACTTAAATTAAATTCAATGAAAAGCAGTTACTTCAAGCTAGTCTTTACAACATTTTGGATTATGTCTGCGAAAAATATATTTAAAATATCTATCTTAACAATTAGATCCTAAGCACTAACAGATCCTTTCCAATCCATTTAATCAACCAGATCGATGGGTTTCCACCCGAATCCGATCAGTGGCATTTTAAAAGGATAACCCAGAACTTTAATAATCCATATTGCATATTTACACATCTGTGGAGTTTCAGAGCACACCACAATCCATTAGGAAATGAAATTCATAAGTCCCCGCACCGCTTTCCAATCTGCAGGACCGACAGTTTGCAACATTTGCCAAACATTTGCGAAAAACAGGGGACATAAAATCAAAGTCAAAGTATGTAGTCGCGATGTAACGGGGTGGATCTGGATCGGGCTGGATGTATCAGTGTGTTGACAAATCCCCCGCCACATCCTTGCGAGGAGGAGCAGCAGCGGCAGCGTGACAAATGTTGCGCAAACAAATGGATTACATTGCCATGGGCAATCCCCGCCAGCCACCCAGCCATCCGAGTATCTCGGAATGAATCATAAATTTCCATAACTGTCATCCGATCTGGGCAGATTTCTTCTCCTCGTCAGTTGCCAACCGAAGAAAGGAAATTAGCAGTCGAGGGATTACAAAACAAACATTGTTGCTAATCCGAAAATTGAATTTAGCTTCGTAATTTACTAATGACCCGAAACTTTTTCAATTGAAAATAAGGATATATTTAGTTTCGCCTTTAAGAGGCAGGGGTAGCTGAAATTGTTAATTTTATATTATATATTTTATATTACAGAATTTAATATTAATTTTGCATAAAAGAAGCAATACATTTAATTTTTATTTGTTGATTTTATTGACAAGTTCACTGGTATTTTTATTATATTGTATGTAATAAAGCTTTCCCTTGTATCAAGTCAAAAACTTTTGTTTTATTACTTTCCTTTTTTTATTACTTTATAAAGTTTTTTATGTGAGCTTCGTGTACTGTTATTGCTAATAATAAATATTTTTATTTGTCAAATTTAGTTAGTTAGTTCATTATTTTTCTTCACATAAAATGATCAATTTAATGTATAGGTTATGCTGCGATTTACGAATTGGATTTCCTTTAAGAAATAAAAGAATAAAAAGACAAATATTTATGTTTCTTGAACTAATCAGTTATTGGTGAATTTTTGCTGAAAAGTATATTATAATGTTTTTTAAATATCTTACAAATTTTCTTAACTAAACTAAAATAAACTAGCTTCAGGAGATAAAATTATCTTATGAAAGTTATCTTTAAATAGAAAAACTGCACTCAACGGTGTAATGGTGGTAAAGTCTTTAAAGTCTTAAAGTCTTTCATGTGAATTAAATTTTTTTTACTTCATTAAAGCTTAAATAACGTATAGAGATAGATAGAAGTGATAAAAGTTTATCTATAGTTATATAACTAAAATAGTGCTTAATGAACTAATACATCATCAAATATCATAGGCAAATTATCATTGCTGAGATAATCGTTTAAATTTACAACTTTATTTGTTTAACGAGATTATTTGTCTTGAAACAAGTTTTAAGATTTTGTTTAGAATTAATTGGTGAATACAAAGTGTTGAGTTTAAAGGACCTACAAATTACGACTTTTATATTTTCGTTTAGCAATACAATTATTCATTATAATTTAAAATTTTAAGAGACTTATTAACTAATGGTTAGCTTTTCTTTAATAACAAGATAAGAACGCATTTTCCTTGAACTTGTCAATTGAATATCGTTCCATCTGCCTTAAATCGCATTTAAAAATTTCCATAGGAAAACTACCTCCCTCCCATTTCGGAGGACAATGGGAAAATTGCTCGTCGGATGCTGCTGAATGTTTGTGCAACTGCTTTAGTTTCTCGAGGCCATTAAGTCGCGGGTCGGCCGATGACAAAGGATAGTCCATTAGACACAAGTCACAATTCCATTGAACAGAGGCCTCACCCCATTTATTGGCCTGCATCCTGCACTCGGCTTCTGCAGGACCCTTTGTGAATGTTTTTGCGAGTGAAACCAGAACAAAACTCGGGGCCTGGATAATATTTTGCGCTTTTTGGTATGACGAATCCACATGTCACACACGAATCGAATGGAGGACAGAGAACCAAGGAGCAGCCCCTGCCCCTCATCCGTTTAGCGGGCAATCAAGCGTGTAGGGCAATTCAATAAGCCGGGAATGGGATGGAATGGGATGGGATGGAGTTCGCCTTGGAGAACTTTATCAACACCCATGTCGGCATTAGTTTTGTTTACAAACTTTCCGTTGCCTTTTTGACAGTTCGCCGGGGTGGTGGTGGACTGCGATCCGGAGTCACTTTTCCCCCAATACTTACTCACATTTCCCGGGGGTGGATTTTTGCGGGGATTTTTATTTATGAGCACTTAAATCGAAGCGCAAACTCAAATTGCACACTGCACATCTACATAAATATGCAATTGCGGGCATGTGAGAAAGTTGCCCCGCTGATAAATGATGAAAAAATTATAAATAAATACGGGGATACAACATGACATGTCATCCCCGACCCCATTGTTGTTCCATGCCCATACCCGGCCATGTCACCCCATCGCGGTCGCTTCTTATAGATGACATTTCCCGATAATGGTGACATCAATTTGAAACTCAATTGAGCTCGCTCGGGAATCTCCTTCTTGATAAATGCTGTGCTATCACCGCCGTTTATCGTGGACGGGAACTGGGTGCGACAAGTCAGCGAGTTGGAAACGGAATCGGACAGCCAACCCCCCCAAGGTAATGGGTTCTATCTATGCCTGGAATCCCTCTGCTCTTCCTGCTCATCCTAGGGCTCATCCTGGTCCTCATCTCTGGGGCGTTGCGAGCAGTTTACATGTTTAATGCTTGCTTAATTGCTGGCCCAGCCAGCGGGACAGATCCCTCATTTCGGATAAGAAATCGTCTTCGAAAGAGTGACATGTCAGCGGTATAGAAAAAAGCTAACTTTTTGGGGGAAAATTAAGTGAACACAATTAATTTAGTTTTTGTAAACTTCCCCAAAAATAGCGCTGTATTCATTTATACTTATTTTAAAATCTTTCTATGGCATCCTTAAATATCTTGATATATAAAATTAAGTAAATTTAGGAATAAATATTAATGTAACATTGTCAAAATGGCTTCAGTAAAAGTTTATGAACTTAT